AATTATTTCTCTGGTGATGTTCATTATTTTTAAATTTTTATATACGTCAACAACCTGCATGTTAACCTGGCCCGTACATACGTTTTACTATATCTTCATATCTTTTGAATTTAGAAATCATCTGAATCGCCTTTAACATTTATCAATAAACCCATCATAGTCGTTGTTGCTAATCGTATTTGGGTTTATGGATTGGTTTATCATATTAGCAGCCTAAAATGCGAACATAGCTTAGATAATAAGATTAAAAATTTAGGTACTATCAACTGCACTAGTAAAATAACTAAATCCCCAGGTAGCTGTTGGCTAAACAAATGTTTAAAATCAAAACTCCGTAGCCTACTAGAATTAACACTAAACGAATATTTCTAAATTGAAATTTATAATTAAATTAGGCGTCTCGGATTCTTTAACGTTATAAATTTCTGATGATTTTGAATCACCTAAAGCAACAATACCTATTTTTCTACTGACTAATCCTTAATCAACACTATAACTAGTTAAATTTAATAGTTTCAGGATATCGTCATAAAGCATTGTCATAACTTGACAATCACGTAATATGACTGATAAAATTAATAAAACTATTAACGAAATCGGTCAACAAGTTGACTTATAATTACCATTACATGGTGTTGTTTTCTTGGTATCTTCATCCATCACAGATGATTACAGTATGTTTCTCTATCAGTTGCTCATTCAGTAAATATCTCAAAACCTTCTCAGTCTAATTGATGGTTTAGCGACACAATCATGCATGCAAATAATCAGTATAAGCAGTCGAGCAAATCTCCTGCAAACTGAAAACATCAATGTCGAATTTACCCCAACACTGACTAAGGTTCAAGCCATTATCATAGACATGAGTTGGGAGTGTACTCCCCCTGGTTACAACTTATGTTCTCCCTGATAATCACATGAGCATCACTCACTATTAATCATCTTGTAAAAACTTATTTAGCTAAATACATTTTGCAGCACCACATCACTTCGTAATATGACACAGGTCTAACTGATTTTAATAACTTGTAACCACTATATCTCAATTAAATCGTATTCCGCCTTATGATAAACTGCATACTTGCAACTAACTTGTATGTCCAATCAGCCGGCAAGTATAAATACAAATAAATAGTCTGCCACAGATCAGAACATTGAGTCTAGAGCATGTCTCTCACGAATACACTCATGTTTAACGATTTGTTCCTAGCTATCTGTCCAAAATTCATATAATCATCACTCACGTATTTAAATTTTATTTTGATAACCATTCATGTGTATTAGTAGTATTACCAAATTCTATCACGGTCAAGTAAAAATGAGGTTGAGAAAATCTCCCCGTAACTAAATAAACCGTATCAAACTAACTGGAACACTAGTTGGAATTCTTTACCATGGTAATACTTTTGTTCCTTCAGTTAGACTACTGATACAGATGCAATTGGAAATCATCTCTTATGGACAACTTACCGGCATAATCGTTATCCGATTTCATAATTTAAACCAAAACTAATACCAATATTAACATTTCTACAATATTCATTATTTTAATATTTCTAAACACAAAATAATTACTGCCTATAAGTTAATTTATTAACACGCATCGTTTTATTATTATTATTATTGTAACCCCATTTTTTTTATAGCTTAAATAATCTTCACCCAGATTTTCATTTCAAGCGTTTTAAACATGAAGGCAGATATTTTAAAATTATTACATGTATTTCCCGACCAGATGCTGCCGCTTTCTTTTTGATTTATCTTTCAGCTTACCAATACCCGGAGGATTCTTATTATCCTTGGTAACCTCCGGCGCGCGACGATCCCATCCAATTTGGTATCGAACCAACATCACGTTGATTCTGGTGGGAGAGTAGTGTAGTGGCATTGGACAATAGCCACACAATCCACAAAGCTGTGAACACGAGACTACTCAGAAAATAAATATTCAATATTTAACGCCGAGAAATACCTAACAATGAAGAAGGCGCGAACAATGAATTGAATGGACTGGAGTTGATCGAGTGGCATGGCTCGGCCATGCAGGCGTGGTCTCTATTCATATTAAATATATTGTTCCTTCTCTAAACTAACCTTCTTATTCATCATGTATTGGTAATTGATACGATACAGTGAGTTGGCGTAGTCGATGGTGTGACTTCCACGTAAGATCTTATAGATTAGGCAGTTATATCATGACGAATCTACAAATTTAGGATTAGGTCTATTATTAGAGCAGTACTACTATCATAGTAGACCATAATTCTACAATCATACCCTATACATGCACCTGAATAAGTTTTGCGACCAACAGACTTAATAGGTGTGCTAAAAAATAAAAATGATGCTTACTAGAAAAATTATCTAAGTGTTAGAAACAGGTAGCCCGTATATTCAGGCGGGCTTTCGCTCAAATATTTAGACCATACAAACACACTCAATTGACTGCCAAGTTAGCTCACCCAGACACTAAAACCAGTAACTGAATCAATCCATTTAGCGTAATGCAACAAATTCCCTAAGCAAAACATTTAGTCTACTGACAACAGGATCTCCGACACCGGTCCATTTTAAGGTATTTCAGTTACACTTTTAATATTGCGTTGTCAAGTAAGTTTATTTGATCGGCAGTATCAAATATGGCAACACCAGAAATTGACTAGAAAGTAAAACTTGAAGTAAAATAGACTTATCTTCGCGCCTAATGTGATGAAATAAGCTTTTATCGCAATTTTTAGGCACAAACATGAAGAATATTGGTTCAAGTCCTTGAACTATTAATTAAACGGAAAGAAATGGAATAGTAGTAGTAATGGAAATAACAGTATCATTAGCCTAAAGAATGCGGTAGTGTAAATGCACTATGAAAGTAAACTTTTCACTGACATCGGTTCACAATACATTTCTTTCAAATACTCCATTGAGTTGAAAATGGTGTAACATGGTCAACAAAACGCTTATTTAACGTGAACTTATAGTAACTTACTTACTTACGCCTGTTACTCCTAATGGAGCATAGGCCGACGACCAGCACTCTCCAACCCACTCTGTCCTGGGCCTTCTTTTCTAGTTCCATCCAATTCTTGTTCATTTTTCTCATGTCTATTTCCATTTCTCGGCGTAATGTATTCTTTGGTCTTCCTCTTTTCCTTTGACCTTCAGGATTCCATGTGAGGGCTTGTCTTGTGACGTAGTTGGGTGTTTTCATCAATGTGTGTCCTAGCCACTTCCAGCGCTTCTTCCTGATTTCTTCCTCCGCTGAGATCTGGTTTGTTCTCTCCCACAGTATGTTGTTGCTACTAGTGTCCGGCCAACGGATCTGACGTATTTTGCGTAGACAACTGTGAATAAACACCTGTATTTTCCGGATGATGGCATTTATAGTTCTCCAGGTTTTTATAGTAACTTAGTTATCATTATTTCAGGTGAGTCTTACTTGGTTTGATTTTGAAGTTTTATCTGAAGTCAACTCATTCTATATTGGTTCAGTTTTGGGTTAAACCATTTATGGTGGGAAAAATTCGAAAACTTACATTTCTCCTACTTATCTTCTATCGGCTTTTAATTTTAATTACTAAGCATGAAATTGATGGTGACCACACACGTTGTGAATACGCGTATTGCTAGGACCGATGAGAACATGAAGTCGCTGGAGAATATCTAGGATCAGAACAAATTCGCATGTGCATCAGATCACGTGTGGGTACGCAATACTACGCATCTACAACCGATAGCCAGCTAGGTCTAATGCTTCCCTGCATATCAAACTTCTTCACTTCTGTCTTCTGATTTGACTGGGTTGGTATACTACAATTATAAAGGTGTTACAGGTAAAGATGTCGTCAAACTTTGAATACTTGTGGTATATTCACATCACTTGTGTACATGCGTTTTCAAATACCTTGAAGCATGAATGGATGAGACTCACTGCCCTGAGGTTCACTAAGGACAGTAGTTATTAGTGAATCTTCAAAGCAGACCTTCACTCTGTGGAAGTTGACATGTTATCCATCGAAGAAGCTTTATCACTTTGTCTACTTCAGGCAGGTCTCGAAGTTATCCCAACTAGTATATTGCTGCGAGAGCATAATATGAATGGCGATTAGTCCTCTAGCATGCATGATTACGATGTCATCACTTTCGTTACATGAAGGATGGAGTCTATCAGACATAGTGTGGCTGAAGTGAAACCCAATTTAAAATTGTACTAAATTCATCGCTTCCGGAAAAACAAATTGCTGAAGTGACGCATTAATCGTTTTACGACATTTCGACCTTCAAGTACTCAGCAACCTCCTACAATGGACAATAGCACTAGATTGTTGCAATGCTCGCTTAGCACAGTGGTCTGTCTTCTAACCCTTCCTTCAGTCATAATATTGCACATCCTGGTTGCTGGACTAACACTTGACAAAAACACTTAGAAGTGCTTCATGTATTTTTTTCTTTTTATGGTTTGTAAGGTATATACTCACTACATATGTCGCGAGAGCACTTTTGATTAACCAATAGGTTAATGCAACATAAAAATTACGTTCCCTTCGTTGGTGACTGTGAATGCCAGCAGCCCACTGGGAAGCAATTGGCTCTAAATCAGCACCTTGGGTTTTGTTTTTTCGCTGGTATTTTTTTCAGAGCTGAAAAATACCATTATTTTACTACCAAGCAACCCATAAGTTATCACTTCAAGTTCGTAAATATATTTGGTTTGACCACATTTATTTTGCCTAAGACGGATTTCCAACGCAGCTGTATTGTTCCTAGAAGTTCCCTGCCCGGCATTTAGACGTTGTTCCAGGATTGAGTACTATTTTTTCTTTATTTCGATTGTTACATTTCAATACTTCCACCAATAAGTCGTATTATCAGGCCACAAATTCGGTTAATAGGTGTCGTTATGTTCTTCATAAATGTCGAGTAAACTCACTGGAATGAATAAACTAAAGAAAGAAATATATTTATTGTCAGTTGAAAACCCCATATTTGTGTAGATTTGTTTCAAATGATTTTTTGTACCCCCAGGGTATTTCAAACTGCCACGTTTACGAAGTTGGGTTGCAGGCTTTATAATGGTTTTGTAATAATACTTTTCCCAGAAGGTTTTAGCAGGTTTGTTCATAACCAATGTTACAGTCGTAGTTGTATATTTTTTGACCTTCACAAACAGTCAATAGGAACACATCTGTGCATCGTGTTACACAATGTCTCTCGTTGTTGTCGATGATGAAATCGAACTCCGAAGGTTGATAAAAAATGAGCGGTAGTGATCGTTTGAGGTGATATATTTACGTTTCAGAAAACTAGTAGTTTTCTTTTCGTCCCCTAATGTGCCTCAATGCGATCAAGTACATAACGCCCTAAAAACACTTAAGGAAGATACAGTGAATTCAGAAATTTTGTTCGTCCATGTAAGTTGCCCACCGTTTTTTTGGCGAATGCAGAACAGCTGACCATCAGTTAAGGTCGGTTGTTTACAATTCGCCGTACACTAAGCGCATTTGCTCCTAGCCAGCTGTTTCAATACATCAGCTAGGCTCTCATTTAAATGCTACAATACTAATTATTCACTTATAAATTAAAACTAGTCCTGCTAATTTTAGTCTAAAAACCTACTAGTACAATTAATTTCCAGTAAAAGTAACAGTTCAGTGCACTTGTTTCTGTGGTACTATGAAGTTGTACTCTTTGTGCGCTTCCAATTTCTAGGTGGATGCGGAGGCCGTTTCTGAGGTTTCAAAACAGCTGAAAATAATTTCTGTTCCTACAGTTTTATTCTTTCAGGTAAGTAATGGACTCATTCTGTTTTCCTGGATTTAATCGGTCACGTTTATCTTATAAAAATAATCTAATGCAACCCAGTAATTAGATACAGGTGCTCGTACTCAGTGTTTGGCCATTTTATGTGACTGGACTGACATCTGGTTTCTCAAACCTAAATATAGCAATTTGAAGATTAGAGTGACTTAATTACCCTCCAACTAAGCGTATGATTTTCTGCTGTTTAACAAAAATTAATGTCAATCCTTGTCGCTCTCCCAGTATGAAAGATATTACACCGATGTGATGTATTTCTACCTAAACGTGTACAAAAGCTATTATAGGACTTTCAGGTACCCTTAAGTTCACCAGCTCTTCCCATTAATTGGCAGTTTCTGTACGGTGTCACCGATCCTGAAAGGTAGTAAGCTTGCCCTCTACGTTCGGTACCAGACGTCTGTTGAAGAAGCTCACAGACAACACGAAAGTTCTTTTGAATTCCAACGACTATTATTTTTCTTAAGATTCCACACATGTAATCGTTGACCGATCAAAACTAATAATGCATGTAAAGTTATTCTGGTGAACTACTTTATTGTAACGTACTTTAGTCATTTTGTAATTCTTTCAAACAATTTCATTCGTACGGGACTTTCTTAACCATCCAGTAAATGAAATGCGAGCTTTATTCACTTGGTAGGATCTTATAAGACTACCCTTAGCGGTCAGACGAACTGAAATACTAAGATCTGAGAACTGGATGTAATACCATGTGAATGGTCTTGATCGCTGACCGTCCCAGTTTATTAGAAAGGATTAAAATTCCTTTCCGATAATCACAGAGGTATCAGGTTCATCAACGTAGTGTCTAATATATTGACCTCGATTACACTTGGATGTCCATTTAAAGCTCGTGAAGAGCAAAACCGAGAAATCCATGCTGGTTTCAAACCCGTACGTGGATGTAGAGACCAAACATTCACCCTTCAGCAGATTCTGGAAAATAGACAATTTCGACGTTCGACCATAGCTGTATTCCTTGACCTTAAGGCAGTGTTCGACTCTTGTTCGTGAGGTTCTATGGTAGTTTGTCACTGGAGGGCGTACCAAAAAAGTACGTCAACCTTGAACAGGCTCCCTACTCGAACACTACTGTTGGAGTCAGAGTTTATGGCAAACTGTCATCGCAATTGGTTACTTCAAGTGGTGTTCGTCAAGGTTATCTACTCTCCCTATTTTTATTTAACTTTGTCATAGACATGCTTTTAGAGATAACACTCATTGTCTCACAATTCATGGATTAATCTTTTACCAGGAGATCCACTTGTTAACATAGTTCTGTTTAGCAAAGATGCTGACAAAATGCAGTCAGTCAGTCGGCTGCAAAGTAGGACCGGACACATATATGCATCGGTCCAAGTTGCCTCATTAGCACAAGATGAACACCGAATTCATAGTAGTAGTTAAGTCAATGGTGGTAATATATAACAGAAAGACTGCACATATAAGGATATAGTACAGGAAGAAAGAATTAGTTTGTAGAAAGAAAGATATGAAGTGATTTTAATCTCTTAGTTTAAGGGAAGATAGGAAGTGTATACACTTACACCATTATGATCGATTCTGAGCCATGTCACCAAGAGTCTCCAACCATTGGTTACGATGGTTACGCGGACCCCAACCAAGTAGTCTGCATCTACCAACATGGCTCAGATTAGAAGTTAGTGACTTCAGGCACTGATGCCACGTTTTGGTTTGGCCGCCCCTAATTCTCTTCCAACCATCTCCAACACCCGTTAGCATTGCACGTCGTAGTAATCGGTGTTCAGGCATACGTAACACGGCCCAAGCATCTCAGTCGATGAAGATTTACAACCTCATCAACTGATTTACCACCATTCCCTAATATCCTACGTCTAACCTCACTATTACTTACCTGGTAATCCCAACAGATGCCAGCATTATTTTTAAGTTATCTGGTCAAATACTAGTAGCTTACGGGTATCTTCAACTCTTAATGGCCATGTTTCGCAGCCGTAAAGTAAAACAGAACGAACTGCCGCGCAGTTTACTCGTTCTTTTATTAATAGATGGATATCTCGCCCTCGCCATAGGTGACGTAAGTTGGCAAAAGACAAACGAGCTTTTCGAATCCGTGATGAGATTTCGTCAGACACCAACCCATTAGGGCTGATCAGACTTCCAAGATAAGTGAAGTTGTCAACGCGTTCGATTACTTCACTCCCTATCCTTAGTTCAGATGTTGACACAGACCAGTCCTGAAACAACAACTTGTATTTAGAGCGAGAAAAGCGCATTCCAAACATTCTGGCGTTGTTGCTCAGTGCTACCAAAAGACTGCATTTTGTCAGCGTTTTCACCAAACAGGACTATGTCATCTGCGTATTCCAAGTCAATAAGTGGACCTCCTGGATGGAGATCAATACCCGAGAACTCAGTCGACGAGAGTGTTATTTCCATCAATAGGTCTATGATGAAGTTAAACAAAAATGGAGAAAGTGAAAAGCCTTGACGGGCACCACTTGAGGTTGCAAAAGCAGATGACAGTTCGCCATAAGCTCTGACTCGACTGGTAGTGTTCGAGTAGAGTCTTCACAAGGTTTATATACTTCTCAGGTACGCCTTTCAATGACAGACACTACCACAGAATCTCGCGGTCTACCGAGTCAAATGCCGCAATGTTTTCTGACCGCCTTACGCAACAATCCGAGTATGTTTGGGATGCGGTTTCCTCTCTCCAAATGCGAAATGTTGCATCAGAATTGTCTTGCGTCACCACTTGAATTAATGATAGGTAGTAAAGTAGTTGTACTCATCGACCGCTTCACTTATCTTTGGAGTCCCATCAGTCCTGAGGGTCTGGCGTCTGGCAAAATCTCAGCACGGCTTCAGAAAGCTCGATTGGCTTTCTCGAACATGCGTCACTAGTGGCTTAGGTGAGGTATCCGTCTTCCAACCAAATTATGGATTTACTGCTCAGCAGTTCGTTGCGTCCTATTTTGTGGGTGTGAAGCATAGTGATTAAGGGTAGAGGGTATTCGTACTTTACTAGTATTCTATCAGAGTTGTATTTGAAGCATTGTTCGTGTATTCTGAGGCCACTGAGTGACCGATCCTGAGGTTAAGCATTGGTCACTAGACAGACGTGGCAAATTGATTGATGAGATTGTATATCTTCATCAACTGAGGTGGTTGAGACATATGTGTTGTCTGGTGTAGCAGTAGGCCGGAAAAAAGCCAGGGGCAACCAAACCAAAAACATTTCATAAATCCATAAAGTCATTGACTATTGGACCTAGCCATGCTAATAGGTTTAGACTTCCTGGTTTGCATCTACGTGATCATCATAACCAATGGTTAGAGACTTGGAATGACATGGCTCAAAGTCGTTTGGAATGCCTCAGGTGCACCCGTTTTCTCTTCTACCAATCTATATTTTCTTTTCGAATCGTATCTTCGATGCAACTTGGACCGATGCATATATATGCCTTGTCCTATGTTGTAGCTGACTAAATATCCCCACTGATACTGTTACTACTCCTTCTGTTCTGGGATTTCACCTGACAATTTCATCTCTCCGCTAATGAAGTGGGACAACTTGAATCGATGTACATACGTACAAGGTTCTGTGTTGTTGCTGACTGGCTGATCGTTCAAAGTTTATCTAAAACTGCAATAAAATTGAGATCGACTTTTCAGACTAATAATTGGCCTATTCGTCTGGTGTTATTTTATTGGAAATTCTGAAGAAACTCATGCAAAACATATGGCGTTTCATCCAATTTAAAGGTTCATTGGTTATTTATTCTGTAATTGACTCCTAAACAACATTTTACATGTTGCAGAACATTGCCGTTATGTTTCATACTCATGAAGCAAGTATTAGGTCACATGTTATTTAGTAGTCCGTTGAGGACCATGTGTGGAAGGGGATCTTGTTGGTTGTTTAAATTGTCGAGTATTTACATGTAAAAAATTGTATTTGGGCCCATCTAAATTAATAACATCACATTTGCACCGAATCGATTTTATATTTGCCTACAGTTCTCATTTTATTCAGAATTGATGAGTTATTCGAATGGTCCGAGTGCTCGGCTTTCAACCATTGATTTTCGAGTATCAATGCAAAGGTTGAACTTGATAGTTTCAAATAAATTGAGCATTGTATTTATTTATTCAAACATAAACATTAGTACAAGGAGGCACCAAATAGATTTGTGTGAAAGCCGGGATACCGTTCAGATGCCCAAACCGAAGCAGGTGGTTTTCTTAGGGGTCCTACCCAAATCTCAATTAATAGAAAACCTGTATTTCTGACGTTTTGTGATTTAATGTAAATCACTTCTTCAGAGTGGATGAACAACGGAATTGATTGTACCAAAAATATTCTGCATTGTTCCCTTTGTTCAATTCAGTTATTTATTTACTCTAATGAAGTGGCTTACATTAAGTCACGAAACGTCATAAATACAAATTTTCTACCTATTGTGATATAACAAAAATAGACTTGTTATTATTTTTTTTCAGGGTCAAATTGATACTCTGCACATTTAGGTTTAATCATCAGTTTGGCGATATAAGAACACTCACAAGTCGTTCAACCTAAATTTGGTTGCACAAATTCATGCTTGTTTGTTGAATTGAAATAATTGCTACTGGTTATTCATAATGAATTTGAAATAACTCAAATGCATGTAATTGCTTTAGCCTACTTATTCTTTGGTGTTCGTTTGATTGTCTGAAGTTGTTGCATTCAGTGATATTGTTTACGAGGAGATCAAGGTTACACTTTCTATTCAGCGAAACGATTGTATTTATTTCGTGATTGAAATGCACTTAGAATGAGCAGCTAACATTCGTATCTTAATGGCTCAAGAACCCAGTTGTAGGGAACTTTCCATTTAGATGAAAAAGTATATTCCTTAGCAATGTAACCTGGAAAGCTTGGTTTTCTCATTGTCCGATGCCTCCTAGTTCAGGAAAATAAGCCATTCGTAAGATATTCGTGCTTGATCACATCTCTTCGCTACGTCAAGTCCGTGTAGATGAAACTGAAATAAGACTACCTTTGCTTTTACATTCAGCTTTAAGTCATAATTAGCGATTGTCAGAGTACCGGTAAGTCTTTAATCATATAGTAGTTATCTCCAAAGTCTCTCATGTAGAGGGGATTAATGAAAAATTTTTTGGAGTATACTTGCGATAGTCTGAGTATACTAGTAGTCACCCAATTAACTGATTCTTAATATCAATGCTTTAATTGTTTAATCTGCCAATATTATTGTTTCCTTAATCAAAAAGTCAAGTGAGGAAATCAATCGCGTTCATGGTGCATCTATTCCTGATGTTACAAAATCTGTCATGAATTTGCAATCAGCACCCGCTAATGGTTCATCCAATGATCTTTCATCACATCTTCACTCTTTAATTAATAAGGCACCTGTCATGCTTTTTATGAAGGGTAGCCCCGAAGAACCCCGATGTGGATTTAGCCGCCAGATCGTCAGTATTTTGCGTTCTAATAATGCTAAGTTTGAAACATTTGACATCTTACAAGATGAAGTGGTTCGACAAGGTTCGTTCGAATTTTAATCAACATTTAAGTTTCCTGTTTTATTGAATGTGGGTTTAAAATGTTTTTTTTTATTAGTTTAATGTGTGAAGTGGTTTTGTATTATTTCGAACTTCAATTGTCTTCCCAGTACCAGCACTTATGTTTCCAAATAAATCTCACTTTTTTGTCGTTAACAGATAAGTAGCAAGTACCTAAATGTATTTGTTTATTTTATCTGAATTCATACATTTTGAGCACACAGTGATTAACTGTTACCACAAACACTTCAACCAGTGTTTATGCATACAAAAATCATATCATCTGAAGGAATGCTCACTGAAACATTTTAAGTCGTAGTTCTATGGGTCTAGTACGTGATATATTTACTGAACGTACAAAGTTTCATTTTTGTCGATGCTGGAGCTCGTGAGTTGGGCTAATCTTTTTAGAGTTGTTGCTTAAAATGAGCATTTCAAGAATAATATATTAATCAACTGCTTTACCTATAGTTGATTGTACATTTACGTTTTGCGAAACAGTTATAAATGTTTACTGGGAGAGGTATTTAACTGACTACAATGACGATACATTTTTGTTCATATAACCCGTTTGTTTTTCATGTTTCATTCGTAACATGTAATCTTTTTTTATGCCTTATATAGATTAGCTAACAGCCCTAATATCCACTTGTAAAATTTTAGAGAAATCCTTGAAAATGTAATAACTAAGAACGTTGTTAGTTATAGAATGCTCTATGATAACGTTTATTTGGTTATAGCAGACGAATAGACAAAATAGTACCATTCGATAAATCTAAACGTAAAGTTTCTTTTGCTTGATAGTTTCTAAAGCCCGTTCTGCTACCCTCCATCGTATTCACTAATTATTGTGATCATTCCATCACATTTTGATCCTATTCTGGGAATATTCATGCTCTTTACGGAGTCTGATATGTTAGTAAACCGTACCTAGCGTGGGAGGTTTAATAGTTCGAGGTTGAAAAATATGTATAGATATTATGTGATTTTTGGAATCACGGATAAAGCTTTTGGATCAAATCTCATGTAAGTTTAGTTAAATGGGTCAGTCTCTCGACTTTCGGTTGTTATGCCACAAGTTTAAAACCCTTCCTATCAAGTGCGACTAAAACCTGGACTTATATTACCATACTTGAGTCACCAATACTTCACTATTTCTCTAACTGTATCAACTTATTTTTGTAATTCAAATTTCGGTTGCGAAAATTTACAGTTTAATTTGTTGATAACTTGACAGAAGTTCTTATTTGTTTAAGCTTTCCTCATAAGATTTTAGCCAAGTAGGAATTCATATATTAGTCTTCAATTATTTCCTGTCAGTGATGAGCTAGAGGATCCAGCAGATACTTAAACTGAAAGTGAAGTAAGGTTGAAACCCACTATTTAGTAATTGAAATTCCAGTCCACCATTGGGTTGCAACTTAGTTCAGTTTTACTGAAATACCTTGACGATGTGTTCCAGTTTTCGTTTTTTTTCGTTGTAGGTTTGAAGTCCTATTCCAATTGGCCAACTTACCCACAATTATACGTGAAGGGCGAGTTAGTGGGTGGCGTGGATATCGTACGAGAGTTAGCCGATTCAGGAGAGTTAGCACAAATGTTGATAGTTCCGTGAATGTGGCAAATAAAACACCTTCTTTCTTCCAAACCTCTGCCATTTATTGTATTTTTAAATGTAATATAACCTTATTGAATTGGAGTCTTCATTTTTTGAATTCGTGGATAGTATCTGCTTTTGATTTTGTTTACCATTAATTGTATACATAAAATATTTAGATATATAAGCATGCTTACTACGTTAACCAATAACAATCGACGTAACCCATGTGTTTGATCCGCTGACAAAAAATTTTTATCTATCAAAGATAATTTTTTGTGTGAAACTGTACTCAACGTTTATGAAAGCAATAAATCGGAGGTAAGTAAGTTTGCTACTCTGTTATTCAAAGTTAAGTCTTCACTTCCCTACCATAAGTTTGAAAGACCGGAGTTCAATATCATAATAGCGTTTTAATCCAGTTGTCTCGTTAATCTTTAAGCGTACCTGTTTCGATAGAATTAATATCAAAGTGGTGTTCAATATAGATAAAAGAGTAGAAGTTTGACTAAAATTTTATGCTCTGTGTTACTAGTTCACACAACAGCTGAAACGACAATTATCATATACTACTGCTACTGTTATTATTTTAATCATCTCATTCTGAGTAGATATATTGTCAATTACCTTTTCGCTAACATAAAAAATTGCTAAAGGTTGATTTGCTATTACTAATGAAATATATTAGTAAAACCCACACTGAGTGAATCCACGTAATCTCAGCTTTTTGCCAAGCAATCTTGTGTCCTGTCTGTAAAATGTACTGACATCGTTGACTTATTTTCAAATCACTTAATGACTTAGCAATGTTTCAGGCATCGTCTGATTCCTTTTAGCCTCATGTTACAAGTTCAACAATACTAAAAATGGTTCAGTTGATTTTACGGATACATTTTTCTGTCCTTTGATGTCGTCATCCTTGACTTTTACAAATCCAAAGTTCAGGTTATCTTTTGCTCGAAATTATATCTGAATATTATGTTTATTTGGGCTTCTAGTTTCTTTATGGAGTAAGATGACTAGAGTGGTGATCCTGTTCGTTGGGTAATGTTCGATTTTTATCACACTTTCAATTAATAAAATGAATGTTTAAACAGGTTATGAATAATCGGGGGAATTGAAGATCCTATATCAATGCTTGTTTATCTGTATAGATTTCGAAGTATGTATAATGTCAACCCAAGAGATTACATCATCCTAATAATCTAAAGTGGGTATAACGGATGAGCTAAATGTAGAGGTATATTAGATTCTGAACGTCCATGTATGATGTCGGACGCTCTCGGCGCATCAACAAGGAAGCGTGTTGTACATTATTACTTCAGTAAACGGACGTCACTAATGAGGAAATGAACCAACGAAATAATTACGTAAAGATTAAACAGTCATTATTTTGATATATCACCGTTCTTATGAACGTACCAGGCTACGAAATAAAGCAAAGCAACATCTTGGAGATAAACATGATCGAGAAGTCAGTGAAACTAAGTGTGGAGCCATACACTAAATAGACCAAGGGTTGGTGATAGTAAGATATTACAAACCATAGAAATAAGATTAGAACTCTCATGATCAAGTAGTGTGCAACTTCGGTTAATTTTCGTTAATGTAAATGACAAACAATGACAATGATAATAATAAGTACATTGATCTTAAAATGGACTAAAATACTCATTACCAACTGAACTGCTCATTTCATTCGGGTAATTGGAATAATTCCACTGCCATTTGGGCATGTTCAGTGTGGGTACACTGTGATTAAATATTTAAATAAAATTGCATTAAGAAACTGATAATTAAGAGAAGAAAGTAGTTGTGGAATGCAAACCTGAAAAGTAACATTTGCTTGCAGCTTGGACATTGTTCACAAGGATGTACATTTCTTTCGAATTGTTATTCCTTAATAACAATGATAATATAAGAATACGTCATTTATTTTGACAGATCAAAGTAATAGTTTGTATTTGTTTTATATGACTGTATATGTGCCAAGAAGAGGGAGTGAGCCATGGCTCAATCAAGCCTAATTCTCAAATAATTTGATGTACGGATGGATTTAAAAGAAAGCTATACATGCATGCACCTTCCTTAGAAATGTTAAATCATTTCTTTGGATTTTTGGTGTCACCAATAGTTCATCTGGTTTACATAATACTTCCGAATGTGTACATGATGTGTGACAGCGTATATGTATGAGTAATAGTAATTAGATAAAACTTTCGGTTAGAAGGGTTTTATTGCTCTTCCTCTTCTTCCTCATCGTCTTCTTCAGATTCGTCAGTGACTACCACATCAGCTGTATGAGCAGCTGGTACATTTTCAAATACTCCACTGTGTGGACATTGTTCTTGCCATATATCAATCTGAAACATAATATTAGTATAAAGTAAACAGTTATTAACTAATAGCTAAATCCTTCCAAAAAATCTTAAGAAATCAACCATAAAATAAGTACAATCTGATGATATCTCCATAATTTGTTACCGGCTGACTACATGCTCACTCACGAATAATCGTTACTTTCAATGGTAACTCAATGAAGTCAGATTTTAATTTGCCATTATCCGGGTATTTTAGTGAATGCTTTAGTAGGTGAAAATATATGTATCACGATAATCTTCAGGGAATTCAAGTGATTAAAAACATGGAACCTTATTTTACAGTGAACGGTATTCAGTTAATTTTTACTGTCTATCGTTAACAGTAATTTTTTGGTATATGTATAATTGGAGTTAAACTGAATTAAATCCTATCATAAACATTATGTATGTGATTTAGTACGACGATAGTCATTTTCTAATAGACTAGATACTGTTAACATGCTAATTTACGACACTTTACATTTACGTACTGTTATAGATGAAGATATCAGTTAAGTCTATAATCCTGACAAACAAGTGTTTACAAATACCCTCACACAAATCTAGTGTTTCTGAAGTTATAGTTATCCGGTTTGTTTTCGTCTACACTATGGTAATAAGAAAGTCTAAAGATTTGTATCTATTGGGTCAATTAACGTGTTAATTACATTGGTATGAACAATTAAATATCAGCATGATCACTGAAAGCATAACTAAATTTCGTCTCTACGCCCCTTATGACCCTTTAATGACATTTAATTTACCACTCACATACTCTAAATTATAATGTATTGTCAATGATTCGTGAAAATAAAACCCTTGTATTACTAGTAGTATCCGGAAGAAAACACCGTGAAAGATACTGAGGTAAAGTGTTTATCAGAGAGAAAAATTATCATGAGATAGTGGAGAAGATTTGTAGCTCACGTGGATGATATTGATGGAGTTTTGTTCTCTGAGCTGGATGGTTTTGGTCGTGGAGCTTTCATCGTTCTTCTGAACGACATCGTCAGCACAATCAACCAAACAGGAAAATTATGCACAAATATAGGAACAAAAATCAAATCAATGGGAGACAACCAAAACAATGAAAAATTTAAGGTCAATAAGAACCAATCAACATCGAGGTGTACAGAACAAGTTATGAAACGCATATGGAGAAATTCGAACACTTCTGTCTGAAGTTTGAGCTGATGGTGTCGTTCAGAAGAACGATGAAAGCTCCACGACCAAACCATCCAGCTCAGAGAACAAAACTCCATCAAGAATAATTATCTGATGGAGATTTGACTTTTCCAACAAAACAGAAGTATGGTCTGGAGTATGCTTAGTCGTTCTTTAACCCCAAAACTTAATCTTCAGACTAATTAAGCAGCACTATTCAATGGTGGATACACACACACGCTAAAGAAACGTATCAACTTACAATATCTGGTCGACTTTTGTTCTTCGCAGCTTCTTCTGCTTGTTTCTGACGTTCTAAGAAGGCTTGTTTAGCCTGTGTAGTATATCGTGCTTGTTTCGGTGCACCATCACTATTACCATTTGTATGACCATCTTCAACCAATAAAATAGTCTGAATGATGTGTAAAGAATAGATGAAATCATTTTGAAAACAGAAAAAATGTAGAGGATGTCTATTATTTTTAATAAGAGCAAATGAGGATATCTTTAAAAGATCTTTAATGCTGACTATTATGTTGTTAGTTAGTATTAAATAGTGACGATAGTTATACTTAAAATAATTCAACATTAGGTACTGTACCACGTAATAATGTGTTCCAGTCAAAATTAAGAATTAATAGGTGAATTTATTACATGTCATTAGAAATCATTTATTTCAAATGTCAATTCTAACTAGCGTGAACATATCTTCACACAGAATACGGCTGTTTGTATTGGATGTAATATGTGCAGTAAAGTAACAAATAATGTATTTTATTTCGATAGAGTCGCTGTAAATTATGTGAAATGAACATATTTTCATCCTGAACATTTTATACGAAGTTGAAATACGATTGAACTTGATAGAGATGCATTATTTTTAAAATTATTGTTCTAAGCACTTTACATAACTCGTTAGAGCTATCTTCCGTTGACCATTATTTATATGATGTAAATTACAATGAAATGTTAACCGTCTCCGGAAAATATCATCACGTTGATTTCTTGCTATTCAGGTTAGTGATTTTATCACATGCATTCTACCCACATATATAGCTCAGTGACAATGCTGATGGTCATCTGATATAATTATCTATAAATATATGCAGATATATAGGTATGTCCAATTAAATAAATATCTGGACAGGTTTGTTAATACTGTTACACGGAGTTTGAATAAACAAACCTTTATTATCGTAATTAATCCAACACAAAATTTTTACCATTGCGTTCGATATTCACATGATTTTAGTGTGCTAATTCCAACTCGCTGCATTTCAGCGATATATTCTTAACCCTGCTTATATGACCTTTCAGCTTTACAAATGATACATTTCGTAAGTACAAACATTATAATAGTCCACCAATTTTAACATGTCTGCTTCAACCATACCTTACAATATGTATGCTTTATACTACTCATTACAATACAAAAATTATGGACTGATGACTGTAAAGTGTAGAGATGAAGTTATTCAACTCTTTTTTCGTTTATCTTCAGTACAGTTATTGATTTATCCGGATGCATACCTTTCTACGGGATAACTTACCTTGTTACTTCCTGTTGTTATCTGTGATTTAGATGCTTCTTGTATAAATCTGTTTTTCGCTTCAGATGCCCATTTCACAGAATTACTTGGATAGTCATCTGTTTGATCGTCATCATAACGGACTACATTATCAAGTCGAGTTGGTTCATTTTCATATATTCCACTTTCAGCAGCATTAATATCTATAAGCTATAGAGATGAATAAAGCAAATTAATATCATTTTTGAGTAAGCATTTAAAAAATGAGGGAACTATCAGATATATTTTGTGGAGTAATTTTCAACAGTTCACATGTATAAGGCATTCAGAAACTTTTTGAAATTCAGTTATTCTTCTAATTAGTAAGTCTGATTTACATAGGTGTGATTCTTCACCACTCATGCAAAGAAATGCGAACTAACTTTGTATGCCGTCATTGAAAAATGCTAGCTTGGGTACAAAATTCATAAAGTTTTACTAAAACACTCAGCTATTTATCTTCAACTAAATATCATTGTGAATTAGAACAATACGTATAAGCGGAAAATATTGTCTTCAGTTAAATCCTCATCAGGCTGCATTCTTATATACATTAATATTTATATGTATATACACAATTATTAAACCAATAATGGCAGTTTGTTGGTCAGTGATAACACTGGAATAGATAACATAATAGGTCAGGAGTACAAATTAATGGTGTGATAATAGGCGTACTAGTTGTGATAAGAAGAACAAAGGCTTCAATCCATGTTTCATAGTAGGAAATAGGTCATTGACTTATAAAACATAGATGCTGAAATAACATTTATAACAACTATACGATTGTGTAATGAGAAGTGTTCAGATAGCTGGACAATGAAGCGTACATTTGGTCGTAACACTCAAAATCGAGTTCGTTTTATCGATGTAAATAGTTTTGTTCATTAGAACTAGTCATCCTCCTTTTCCTGGCTTGATTGTGCTCAGGGTTTTATATTTTCTAAGCTGATGTAAAGCATCTCGATGTTCGGTAATTAGTGATTTCACGGTATATTTACGATATTTGTATTGTTGGTGGATATCAACCAACGCTCTTAAATCTAGTAAGTTCATGGAGTAAAGTGGAGACCAAGTCTGTTCTTTGTGGAACTAAATTCTCAAACTGCACATCGGTATCCAGTTGATTTATTCTATTTCCATAGTTAATCATTAACCAATTCCAACGAAGTTTTTAGCTTCTATGGGACGGGCATTCAACGTTAGGAACTTATTGAGTACCTTAATTGCAAACGGATCCCTCAAGTGACTTAAGAATTTCCATAACATTAGGCTTTGCTCTAACATATAATAAAGTTTATGGGTGATGAGGAATTAAAAATGAAACTACAGTCTTATAATAAATTAAGTTACCTGTAAATTATTACGCTCTTTAGTTAACTTAAACAAGTAATCGATTATCCTGAACTAGTCAGAACAAACTCTTTTGTTACTTTCATCTCAATAATCACTTAGATACATTTACTCACCTTTATACTATCTCTCTTTACAACGGAAGTATCAGCAGCTTTCTTCAAAAATAATTCACGTCTTTCTTTAGCACTTACACCAGATGGTAGATCTTTTTTTGTTTCACCAGCTCTAGCGATATTTTCAAATTTTTCAGGTTCATTCTCATAAACCCCTCCATAACCCTTTGATTAAATGTAATAAATAAGGTGATAAAAATTTATAAACAATAATATATCGAGACTTATTATTCTAACAAAATAAATTTACAATGATATGATAATGTTTTTGGTTCTAAGTTCATATGAACATAGTTACCTGTTTAATAAAGTAAATATGTTAGTCAAATAACTAAAACAAAATAGTTATAAATTAATTCAAGATGTTTATTGAAATTTCTCCAACTTTCAGTCGTTTGACTCTTCTCTGAACACATAAAATGTTGTTTTTCTTTTCAACTACCTTTGATATTTATTAATTGATGAAACTAATGGAATAAAACTATTATAAGTCTTCTTTCATTTTCAATGATTATTTACTTTCACTACGAATCAAGATATATGATCTAAAACTATAAACAGTATATGACATTAAATTTTTAAAGAGAGCTATGTTTTTTTACTGTAGGATTTATGGTATTATTTTATATGGTTAGTGAATTATGTTGACACAGTAACTAATTATTCAGTTTGCCTGAATAGTCATTGTTAAAATTCCTTAGCATTCTGCAATGAATTTTGTAACAAAGTGCTCTGTTAATTTTCTCAAGGACAAACTTCTTATTCTACAGCTCGAACACAAATATCATTTATTCTCATTTAAGCTAAATGTAAAATGAAGCAATGCTACTGCTGAGAAAAATTTTTTTGTACTAAACGATTCGTGATATATGCTGAACAAAATCTATTAAGTCCGGATCAAAGTTATTTCAGTGCTAAAATTATGGAACTTATTGTTGACTCAAAATTATTCACCAGATTTTGTGATGTCAAAATAGTTACTTTATCGACCAAACAACTAATTCAGATCGATATGGCTTGACTGACATGACAAATTAGTAATAGAGTTCTAAATTTCCTTGAATCCATCAAAAACATAATGCATAAAGACCAATCGAAACATTTTATTCATAAACATATTCATGACTTCCTATAATTCAATTTCATACCGTTTATTGATTATAAATGTGAACATGAAGTTCGTTAACGATTTAATTAGAACTTTTCAAACGAAGTTATATATCAGATCTTGTTTTTCAGGTGAACTACTTTAGTCTTACTAAAGTAGTTAAATTTACTTCATTGACAATTATATGACTTATGAAACGATAAAAAAAACCTGTAAACCGATATTTAATATATAGCTAAGGCTGAAATATGTAAGGAAGTGTATAATTATGTATGATTATTGGTTTTGTTGAGTTCTCTGAGTTGGATCGTCTAACAGAGAACCTAATGAACAATGTAATCCAAACTCCTTATTTATATCGACCAAGTTTGATAAATGTTGGTAACGCATCATCTAGACTTATTTAATGGAATTTAAGGGATATGAAATAATACAATATGGATTATCATTTGAGTTGAACATTCTTGTCTTATAGATATAAACTTAAATATTTTGGACAAATTACAACTGAAGTGGACCTACAAACAATCAGAATGTAAAGATTTTCGTCACAGCAAGTAGCTTCAGGAAATATATGAATATATGCATATATCTTTAAAGGGTTAGCTTAATTAGATTTGAAAATTAATTACAGAAACTGACCGCTGCCATTTGTGTTGTAACATATCATTATGAGAACTGAAACAGCGTTTATTACTTTTAAGTCGAGGTGCATGGTTGGGATCTTTCACTTGAAATACCAACGTGTAATCCACTTGGCTATTACTTCTAGATAATTGTGCAATGTAGTTAATTTCAATTCATTCATATTTGTTGCTTGCTTCTTTCCATAGTCGTTTGGATACATCCTATACAGATTGCCTCTATTGTCATTAAGTGGATAACGCCTTAAGGTTTGAATAGGAAGGCACTTGGTATGAGTTCGAGAGTGAACATAAGTTTTGTAATAGAGGTACATCCAGATGACGAGTCTCAGATAATACGAATCGTGAGTCCTGGATTCTACTAGTACTCACCAGCCATCTCTGCTTAAAATGTTCATTACTTAATAGCAATAGTGAAGAGATCGCACTGGGTACACTTATGTCTAATGAGACTGGTCAGTTACAGACTCAAACACCAACGGGAAGATTCAAACAACCAATACAAACGATGTTTATCACGTTTATCCATAGTATATTAATATCTGAGATCGATAACGTCAACTTCATATAAATACAACAGTTAGAATTTCTAAAATAAAGATTCTTTTCAGGAAATACTGTCCAAAACTTAAGAAATAAATCTATTGTTTTCCATATTTTGTGATTAAATACCTCAATTCATAAAAAAATCTCATGAAAATATCACAAGATTACTTTAACGATTGTCATTAGATCATTAGAACTAAGCGTCGTATATTTCTAGCTATTATTTTCTTATTGAAGGAACTTTTGAATTCTCTCAAAATAAATTAGGTGATAGTGGTCAACAAAATCCGACCGAAACCTAATATAATAGTTCATTGTTAGATGGTGTAAATTACATTCATCGCTGATAGAAACGGTTAATTGGATATTTTCTGACTACTGTCTTTAAAAATGATTTTTCAATATAGGATCCAACTTCATCAGTCTAACTAAATTTTTCTAATCAGTATGAAATGTCTAACATCATTCATCAATTTACTCATTGGTTTCTGAACTGTTATTATAAATCTGTCACTTATAATCATTTTGACTCATTAATTACAAAAAAAATATTACTATGGAAAAATTTGCGGAGATTATGGAATTTAAAGTTAGTTGTCATTACAAACTAGCTAATGCCAGAAGTTTTATGGTATTGAAAATATAATGAGATTAGAAATGTGGACTTTTATGTCCCATCTTAACGAAATATAGGTATTATATTGTATTCAAAGGTGCTAGTACTATCTCGTGTAAGATCGTGTTTGTGAAACTAAAATAAAATAACGATTCAATGCTCGCTGACCTTAGTTGATCAGTCAGTAATCAAAACCAAATATACATAAATGTCATTTACTGACGGAGACTTTATTAACGGCAAATTCTAGAAATTAACTGTTCATGAGTCAGTTAAGTATTGTGACACTTTCATATGCAGTAATTTTGTCAAGCAAATATTTTAATGATGGTATTTGTAGGGAAATAATAGGTACCCTGCCTAATATCATTAAAACTAAGGTCTCTTTTAAGAAGAAAATATGGATTTCTTCAAAAGAATGAGTGACAAATGTGAAAACGTTCAGATCGAAAGAAAAGAGATTTAAATTTATTAGAACACTACTGACGATCAATGTATATTTGAAATGTAACTTGTAAATGATGGTTTCAATATTCAATTGCAGTTTAATAATAATAATGGCTAATTTCTTATATACAACGTGATAACTAACGTTTTACTAAATGAAATTTAAAAATAGAACAGCAAATGATTTTATCGAGTGTATATTTTGAGGTGAGATTTTCAGTAGTTGCCGTCTAAGTCAGGGACCTGACAGTTACATTTCATGACATCCTATTTAAAGATACATATATGCAGTTCATAGTTCTTGTACTTTATTCTTCTTGAGTTTCTATAGAGTTTCAATAACTGAGCAAGTGTTCAGAAAAATAAGGTACCGTTGGAAAGTAATTCATCAAAAGTTCTCAAGTGATATGATGAGCTTATTACTAAACAGAATATGATGATCTTATTTCGAGTAACAATAATTTACGGCAAATCAAATAAACTGTGATTAGCTAACGAGATTTTAAATTTGGTAGTACAGTTTTTTTATCATCACTCAGTGTAATAAAATGCTTTGTCTGTAAAAAAGGTATCTTACTCAATTATAAAATTCACCTATTTATCCGTTCTAAGTAAAACTACAAAAGCACTAAACACAATAATTTTCACTTACGTCATGTATATCAAGTTTCGGACGTTCTGATAATGCATCTTTTTCAGTTTTACCACTTTCAATATCCTTCCATCGTGCTCTTGCATTTTTTGTAGCTTCCGGTGCAACTGTAATTGATTCATCAATGAATGAACTTTTTTTACGATTATCTCCATCCATGCTCTAAAATGCACATGTTAGAATGGAAAAAGATGATTATAACCATTATTTTACGAATAATTATTAACAAAGTCTCATTTAAACGAATGCAAACGTTTTTATGCTAGAACATCAAGAACATTACTGATGTAGTACACTATTCAAATGAAGTAATGTAACTGATTACTTGATAAGTTAACCAACGAATAACCAGGAATGAAAATAAGTGATCATAAAATATTTATTGTCAATACATTGAAGTCCGTTGTAACAAAACCTATATTAGAATAAAGTCAGTATGATATACCGTTGAATGTTTGTTGTTTATTTTCCATTATCGCAGTAATGATAAGGAATTTTAAATGCAATAAATGGTATTATTTTATTTCCACAGTCTGATCATGTTTATGTAAAGGTTATTTTACATATATTCACTCCTCTTTTTATAGATTCATATTGAATTAAATATTTTCAGTTGCACTTACGTTGTTGTCTAGAACAATAATGAAAGCTCTTCCAGTAAATTATCTTGCTCAGAAAACATAAAACGAAAAAAGACATCCACCTGATCTAAAAGTATTCCTCATCACCTCAATATTACATTCAGTTACTACTATAACTCTTCAGGGTTCCACCTTTGTAAGCCTATTTTATCAATGTTGGATTCTAATAATTACACTATATAACCAGTTCTGCAAAATGCACACAAATAAAGTATTGGTAACTTTGTGGGTATCAGTGTCAAGTTTGAAATTGATAGTTTCAAATAAATTGAGCATTGAGTAGCAAGTTAATAATTAATACATTTTTATCAGTATAGAGTTGCGGAGATTGTAGGTTTTTAATTAAGATCATGAACCGATCAATGCGCGCGAGAACGAAGGTCCTGGGTTCGAATCCCGCTTGCGGGATCGTGTATGCGCACTGCTGAGGTGTCCCATAGTAAGACGAAACGGCCGTCCAGTGATTCCACGTGGTTCAATATTCATCAGTTCATAATTTCAAATAAAATCTACTTTCGTAATATACCAATAGTAAAAATTTGTATTTCTGACGTTTCGTGACGTAATATAGGCCACTTCTTATGAGTAGATAAATAACCGAAGTAAATTAACACAAGTTTATATAGTACAGAGAAAACTTGTGTTAATTTAATTTGGCTACAGATTTACTCTGAAAAAGTGGCCTACATTAAGTCACGAAACGTCAGAAATACAAATTTTCTACTCAATGGGATATAACAAAATAGATTCATTATTATTTTTAACTTTGTTCAGTCGTTATTCATGAATTCAAAAGTTTTTAGGCAAAATTCAGGAAAATAAACATTTACATTGAACCACATTGTTCATGTTTTAAATCAGAACGTATCCTAATCAATTAACACTAGAAATAGTGAAAATTGAAGCGATTCTAACAGACTCATTATGTTTTCTAAGTAGAACGACACATTTCCATCCACATAGCTGAAATATTTTCAGCAAATTAGACATTTCGTATTACAATTTATTTTAGAACTTGGTTGTGTCCTACTTATTTTTCTACCACATCTTATCGTTCACTTTGAAACTGAACATCACTTCCAACCTACAACATATTTTATGATGTATGAATGTTCATTTAGTTTTATATGGACATTCGGTCTATAGTATAGTATAATAGTTTATTCAGATTAATCTTTCTCAAATGAAGATACTCAAACTCTTTTAATTCAGATTTCTATAAACTATAAGAAGTAGCTTGAAAAGCCTATGATCGTAATACATTATGGCTTATAACTCTGAGTAAAAATACTTCGTTGTTTAATCACTTTACATAAATTTATAAGCAAGTAGTAAATAGAGTTTATTCTGTTTATTCGAGACCTACCTGTCCACCAACTGCTTCCATATTTCGAAATTTCGCCCTCAAATTTTTTGTTTTTTCACTAATCTCTTTTAAATCCACTGGTTCAAACATATCGTCCGATGTAACGACATCTGGTGCTCTTGGCTTTGGATTACTTTCTAATATACCAACAGCAACACCATCCGGTGGTGGAGTGAATTCCTTTGGTTTCCTAGGCCCATCTTCTACCTTACTCATTGTAGCCTTTGTAGCTTCTTCAATAAATTTTGTTTTAACTGATTCCACACCAGCATATTTCATTTTTGGTGCAGATTTCTTTTTGTTCTTCCTTTTATCACTATTCACTTCACCTGATTCAAACTTATTTCTAATATTTCCCATTCGTCCACCACTGGCGTTTGATATTCGTCGTTCAAGGTCAGATTTTTTAGTATCTTTATTCCCATTTTCACTTTTTTCATCTACATTTCGACAAGACATTAAAAATGGATATTATTTATAATTAAGTAATGAGTTTTTGTTTTTCTGGTTAATCTAAAAGTGCGAAAGTGAATACGTGCTCATGAAATATGCTACGTGGCTATTACAAATAAATATGCATTCAATGGCTGTTTGGTTCAAGTTTCAGAAAACATTAATATTCACCTCCATGTTAATTGAATAAACTACTAATAAAATACTCTAGGTTAAAGGGGACTTGCGGTTGTATTAATTTGTTGAAATCCCCAAATTTGACTGATATTTTAAGGCATAACTCTATAGACGAAATGACGTATGTGAGTTACGAACACATGTAATCAATTCAACTTATTATACTGTTGGAAATGTTTAAAATACAACAGACGGGTAATCATATTGTACTTTAAATGGTTGCTTCTCTTATTCGATTTACCCTAGTATGAGACTTGTTTTTACCGAACTACTGATAGATGAGTACTGTGATCTCTTTAAAAGTAAAACGATTATTGAAAATTCATTCACTGTTTTCTACCTTTCACTAGTGTTCAAAGCAGATAAAGCATAAAGACTTATGTTACAGCTGTTCAAATGAGCGCTTTTAACAAACAAAAGTTCAAATGTTCTACTGAAAGCATTTAAAAAAGATATCAGGTTTTCAACTCCATTTATGATAATTCAATACATATTACTTATACCAATATAGTAGATTATAAGTTTATTTAGTAAAATGTTTATATAAATACAATCATATTTCAGTGAAATTAATATTTCAATAGTTGAGATTATGAGTCAATTGAAGCTAGATTACCATGGAAAACCTGGAAGCACTAGATAACCGTTCCGTCCTATTGTGAGTATCCACGATCCCGCCTCATGAGATTCGAACCCAGGACTTATCGATCTTGCGCGTGAACGCTTAACCTCTAGACCACTAAACCTGCATCCATCGGTGTTAATGTCCAACTTCAAATAATCCACGAAATTAAGCAACAAATCCACCATTGTCCTCAATGAGTTACTATCTCAAAGCAGACCCAGTTGAACTCCATTGATCACTGCTTCTCATTAGAATTCCAGGAAATACATCTTAAAACCAGTTTTATTTGTTAAATTTTTATGAATTTTCCATATAATTAATCACTATAATACTTTGTATCATATTGAAGTATATATAAATTAGGTTGAATCTACATATGTCAATTGATTACACACATATGTACATGCTTGTATGAACATATTTCATACACCATTTTTAATTCAACCTTAGAAATTTTGAAAGAAAGAAAGTAAGAAAGAAAGAATAAGAGAATTAGTTATGCCAATAGTTATACATTTACATACATAATCATTCAGTGATAGTACCGTAAGTCATAATTTTAAAACATTAAAACTACATATTGTAACGTATAGAAAATTTATCATATTAAGAATATAATCTAATCTATTTAAAATGTTTATTTGTTTATATCACCGTGAGTAATCAATGTAAACTGTCTTATCTTAAAAAGAAATCTACAAACGAGTAAATAAACACTGAAGAAATCAAGTTCATATTGTAAACAAATAATTTTTAATCATTTATAATAAAGAACAAACAATAATTTATATTGATTAAATGTTAGAAAAACCATAATGGTTTATAGGCTTAACAGTATACACATGCAGAAATAGTTATGTATTCATGAATAGATTTATTCAATTCATGTAATGAATTAAAACAAAACAGATGATTCATTGAAAGTTCCTAAAAATCCCATTCATTAAAACATAATAATAATTACAAATTATAGAAATGAATATTTTCAAGAGGATCAATTCTAATAGTAGAAACATAATGTTAAATAAATTGAAAACAAGTGCTTTTTTCTGTTTTATTTGATCCGTTTTGGTAGGATCTCCAGTTAAGATCTATTAGAATTTTATAGTTTGTTAAACAAAAAGTCTTTTTTTATTATTATGACATTTGACTTTTAAGGTTTGACTGAGTTTTCAAGAGTTATAGTCGTTTCTTTATAAAAGTGGAGAGAGTAGCTAGATGCTTATCAATAAAGATTATCCCTCTAGTCCCTAGTCTGTTCAATGTAGCTGGAATATAGTAAATAGTGAATAATCTGTAACATCATTTGCTCACAATATGTGAGTAACAATTTTTAGTCAAGAGGAATTAAGCTATGGGTTAACACCAAGTATTTTGAAATGAAAAATCTTTAATTTCATGTTATCATAAGAATATTTTTATCTTTTATGTCCGTGTGTACAATATAGTATCAAGGCTTTTACCCTGAAAACAACTTACTAGCCAGACATATTTGGATATTTTCATTCCTATCCATTTTCACAACAAATTAATCCCTACAAAAGGCCATTTTAACAAAAGCGAACTGTAGTCTGCAGTGCTTTGTTATCTTTAAAATTTATATTCTTTCTCAATGAGCTCAAAAAAAAATCAACACCATTAAATGTAAAATAAAATTTATTCACATCTTGAGGTTAATGTACCATAAATATATTAACCATTACAGACTATTATAAATTACGTCTAGTTTTTCACCTTTCCGATATGAAACAATTCATGGACTGAAATATGACGTTCCTGGTAGTCAGACTTAGTAATTATTTCCTTTCAACCATAAAAAATCCTCTTCAATTGAATACTGAGAAAATAATGCGTAACAATTTATTAAATAGATCTACTGATGAGTTTGTTATCAAACTATAATTAATACTGAGAACACATTCTAAACACTGATCACATTTAGTTGATCAGAAAATGGGCAGAACCTATTAAACCAAATTTTACTTGAAAATTATTTACTTTAAAGTATTATTTAAACTGACCCTTGTTCTAGTTTTTACATACACAACCATATAAGAATACAGAAATTAGGAGTGAATTATAGAAAACTACGTAATTATATGGTAATATAGTAATATAGCTCTTAAGATGATTGAGAGAATATATGAATATAGATTTACTTGAAACTCAGGTTTTTTTTAGAAGGATTACTAATCTTGATATTTAGATAAACTGAATCCCAGCTAATCATAAAAGAATAAATCTATAATCACTCACGAATGTATGGTAATAACATTTTCATCTTTGTCGGAACTTGAAGAAAAAACTCACTTCGTGGTCATCATCTTTGGCGGCCTGCTTGAACATCTGAACTACCTGCTTCTGTTATCTAGATATTCCAACTAGTTATCTATTTCTGTGTGTTTCTGAAAACTGTACAACCTTTCGTTGTATAAGTTACAAAAGGTCTAATCACAGATCTCGTGGTTGTTGGCAATATGCAACTAAAAGAATGTACATTATTTAGATGTCGATTTACTGGACTTCTAACTGGCGACTACTCATTATTTATCGTCAGGATCGACAAAGTAATAAGAAACGGAAACTTTTTGAATTACTTTGTGCCGAGAGATCTACATTGTACCAAATGTATAATATTGAATAAAGCTAATAATGATAATGACAATAATAATAGAAACACCTATAAAAGTCAACAAGTTTTTCAAAAATATATGACTTTCCCTTATGTTGATTTTGACCTTCTATCTTAAGTAACCTTGGGTGAGAGATACATATTTTCTAGTTATCAAAATTTAGGATAGTTAAATAGAACATACTAAAAAATTTATTTCGGAGTCAAACATTCCATCTCCATCACACATTAAACAACATTTCCAAAATACTTTAGAATTCTCAGTAACACAGTCAGTTTAAATTCACAAAAATTTCTCAAAATCATCATATGAAAAAGTTTTGAATAGCTTATTTTTGAAAAAAATGAATTATTGTTGATCTGATCGCTCATCGAAATCAGTTTGAATTCCTGACAGATCTCCAAACAAATTCGAATCAACTAATACGCTACTGAAAACCAGTAGGTATTTAGGAAATGTTTTTCAATTGTTTAGGACCCTCTGGCAATGCGCATCCATTAGCCAATTTTAGGAAGGACGCAGGAACTTACAGTCTAATACCAAGAACGGTACCGATAAATCACTGAGTCACCACGTAGTCGTCTGTATTTTCTATATTAATTGTTTTGATATTGAGTACTGTCTTAACTTCACTAGTTATCAATTTTCACTGAAAATTTGGAACTGCATTTGGTATTCGGTAACACAAATTCATTGAAATTTCAATATGCGCTATTAAATAATGATTAAGTTGATTAACTTTACAATCCTTGGTAAAGAATCTGAAAGTCATGATGTGAATCGAGCATGAGCTCGTTTGTAAACATTTCTTTTAAGACTCAAATAATTGCTTCATGGTTTCTAATGAATTTCTAACCAGCATCAGACTGTAAGGAAGATTATTTTAAAGAAAAAAATTTGTCGACATTATAGTTTTGTGGTGAAAATTATGAATTCAACCACATGTTTTCTGTTACTTTTTCCCACTATGTATATTTTTAAATCAATTCTGAAATATCCGTCATAATAAAATTCATTAGTAACATTGTATCCTTTTACCCACTTATTTCCTACACAGTGAAGAGGAAAAAAGTAAGCGTTCAACTAATACTCATATGCACATACTTTTGTTCATTGCATATCACATGCCAATTTAATAAACAAAAATTTAACCGAACATTAACCATGTCTAAACATTTCTTGCCATAAACAAACACATGCACATATACATATATGAATACATCGACAACAAGAAAAAAGATTTCCCTCTTTTTCTTTTCTTACATACCAATCTCTTGTTTTTGTGTTAAGATTGTTGTTGATGTCAATGAATGATCTGTGAATAAGATATGAATAAAATTATTTTAGAAAAAAAAACGGACAATAATAAAGTACAATATAAATTAGACGAAAAAACACATTCACATTCAATCATAAGAAAAAAGAAACAACCCAAAATGTGAATGAAAAATAGAATTCTAACAATAACTCTATCTGTTCATCATCATCATCGTCATCATCATCATCTTCATTTTTGTGCTTAGACATTTATTCATTGACCAGTTTTAAAAAGGAAATAGTAAAATATCCACAATCATCTTAGCTAAACATGTAACGAATTTTCTCTTTAGGAAAAAGAAAGAAATATCCAGTAAGAATTACATAATGAAACATGATAACATTTTGTACTAATATTAGTAGCATTTGCTATAGTAGTAACATTCATCTTAGAATTGCTGTAAATTTGAAAGAAAAAAAAATAGACTATTTGCAAACAACAAACCAACCACATATTTAAAGAAATCACAACTAGAAGATAGAAATGGGTATTGTAAGGATTAGATTTTGTTTGATTGAAATAAAACAAGAAATGTGATATCAATTATCATTCCTTCATTGTTATTATTGCTGAGATCGTTGATGCCATCAAGATATTATTATATCAGTTATTATTATTTTTTTTATTGTACATTGATAATATCCATATTATATCGAAAGTGTAGTGCACAACACCAGTTACCATTTTGAAATATTGCACTTTTATCACTGAAATTTTAAAACAAAATAATATTGAAATTAAAAAAAATAATCAATAATCGATATTGTAACGATTAATGATCTAAGTAGTTTTATAAAAATTTTCCATAAAAAGAAAAACAAGTTTTTATAACCAAATAATAATAGCCAACATTAGAGAATTGAAAAATTGCCTTGATCTAGTTTGATATCAGAACAAGAAAGATGTTCCACGCTTGTTAATGTTTAATAGCTTATTAAGTGGAATTAAATAAGGGCAATGACGTAAGATAATAATAGCAAATAGATATTAATCTTAATAACGTCAATGGCGTAACTGGAACCTAAATGACTTTCCAATTTTATCGTACAAATGATCATAGAACCATGTTTGAGATTATCAATGATCTTCGATGATCACTGAATACTAATCAATCATTTTTTATGTATGCAGGCTATTTTGATGAGTTAAGATAAACGGTGTTTCTACCTTGATGTGTCGTTTTACGCCAACAATTTACTATAGAACTTTGAATGAATAGTCGAGTTATAGTCATTTAATTAATCATCCCGTCAATTCGGACATTTGATTGTATATGTATGACACTTCATTGAGTGAAGACAGTGATGATGAAGTCCATTTTAAAATATACCAATAAATTAGATAGTTTGTACAAATGTACATTACTTTTTCATAGTTTAAAATTGAAATAACTTACGTTAATGTTTCATTACATATTGAACATTTGAAACAATTACGATGTATCACTTGATCAACTAAATCATAACGTTCATTTACTGGCATTATTTTATGACAAATCGAACAATTTTCAATTGAATTTAAGTCACATTCCATTAGTTGGTTTATTATCTAAAAGAAAAAAAGACAGGAAGTGAAAATTTCTAATCAGAATAGATAAACAAATATTAAATTTTAAACACGATATATATATATATATATATATATATATATTGATGGAGTTTTCTTCTCTGAGCTGGATGGTTTAGTCGTGAAGCTTTCATCGTTCTTCTGAACGAAATCATCAGCACAAACTTTAGATCGAAGTAAAGCGTTCGGATTTCTCCATATGGAGATAGATCAAATAGATCATCAGGCTCCACTATGATATGCATTAGTATTTATCCCCGTATATGCAAAATATTAGATCAGTCACAGTGATTTTACAGTCATTGATAATTGTAAAACAGTCTATATAATCATAATACTTACTACTCATTTGTCTTCTTACTATCGGTTTGTGTTTTTAATTTAACATGATTAGTTGTGTAATCTTCTTCAGTGCTATCATCGACTCAGAAATTGCCTTGATCGGCTGATTATTTTTCAATTGTGCGTGTGCATGTTATTTTATAATATGCGAAAACAATGTTTTCACTTACAAGTCTTGTTTTAATTCACACGATGAAAATTTTTGATCAGTAAACAAAAATGGTAGTGTTGTGGTCTGTGGTCTTGTTTAGTCACAAGGATCCTTTCAAAGCCTTATTAATCTAATTTTACAGAGAGAAAAGTCTATGGAGCAGGATTCATTAAGAAAATCCGAAAACCATGGATACTTGTGGGTGCAGTGACAGACCAGATAATCACCTATAGGTGATGACTCTGTGCAGATGATGATCCACTTAGAAGAGAGAAATGACTCTTCAATACATAAATTGTTCCTCACATGTAATTTCGAGATATCTTGTGTATGTCTAGTTTAAATGGACATAAAGTTTGCAAAGTAATAATGAACACTAACGTTCTGAACAAACTCATTTCAAGGCATTATTTTCAAGGATGCTCGAAAACATGGATATTTAATTTCACTTATATCTATAGGAAAATTTAGTTAGAATTATCTCACTTTTTCGAGCTTACTTTGGCGATTGTTTTTCTTAAACCAAATTTTTACGTTAACGCTATTAAAATAGACCGTAATGTTAAGTGATTAAATAAATTACAAACCGTTTGTCAAATTTATGTTTCATATAATGCAGTATGAAACAACAATGAACATGAGTAAATTCAATTTTGTATGCTACGAAATATTCAAGTTTGCTTCTAATCAGTAAAATGATCAGTGCCTGTGTTCTTCCACCCTCTCATGGCCTTTTGTAGTAGGGTTACTGTGCACTGTAGAGCTTGTAGGTGAATAAAGTCAGTCGGTGAATAGATAATTTTGTATGTCAGGTCATTCAAATGTTATGACTGGATTATTTAAATCCCCACTATCAGTGAAATTGTTGAGATGTGACTTATTTTCTAAATTAGGCAAAGTGGAAAATCTCCTTCCTAAGAGAACGAGGTAAATAATTTTACCCTACCTAGGTATATTTATATTATGACATTGTTACGATAAAAGTGAGTTTTGGGAATCGTATTAAACATTAAATAAAATTTAGCAATAACATTTTGTAAATCAGTTACATTTCTGAAATTTAAAGTGACTTACAGTTTTACTTCCAGGCTGTACAGATTCCATTGGCTTTTCAGTCCATATTCCAACCTCTTCATTACCTGTCATGGATACTGGACGTAAGTTACTCAATTTGATTTGTGGTACCTGTGATGTTAGCAGTGGCGACAGTGTTTGCCTATTTGTTTTATGAGGCCCAATGTTGTTCGCAAATTGTAATGAAGTTAAATCTTGTGTAGGTCTATTAAACTGAGAACTTTCTGCAGGTATAGGTCTACTAATTACCGGACGTGGATTAGATTGACTTCGTTGTTTCTTATCAGATTTTGTTCGGGGACGTTGTAGGTTAATTTTTGAAGCAGCTGAAGTGAATATTCGATGAGGTTTTTTCAAATTTACATTAGGTTTTAATCCGCTGATGTTATTTGATTTATTGTTATCATAGTTGGTATTATCACGAAGATCAGGTGTACTTTTTAAATGAAGTTTACGTTCATTATCTTCATAATTTAAATTGACTTCTCGTTTATTACTGTCACGTATTTGTTTTAAACGACATTTGTTCACCTTATTTGAAATTACTAAACGTAAAGGCATTTCATAAAATCTAGTTTCTAAAGTTAATGTTAATTCGAACATTTATTTTCATATTATTATTTAAATAAATATGATTTCATTTTACCAGTGTTGTATGAGAATGAGGAATAAAATAAACCACTTCTAATGCAATCATCAATCATGCAATATTGTTATATTATTAATGATATAACAGCAAGCTTATTATGATATTCATTCTACGTTATCGCGTGCAATCACTTTCAAAGAAGTATTATGATGTTTAGCTATTAGGTAATGCTATTTTATTCGAAAATAAAATGGTTTCATTCTAGTAGATTATTTCCAGTTGGTTATGTTATTTACAACTAAGATATTATAAAGTGACCAGTCAAAAATAAAAATAATAAAGAAGTTCAATTGATCGTTATATATATTCTGATTGTACTTTAATGTATAATTATCTATCGTCATATTTTAATTGAAATTCAGCGCTTTCTAAATAGCCGATTACAAAATAACAAACATTTTTGAACCGATGTTTTCTTAAATTGGGAAATATATCCTTTAGTATTTACAAATAGAATTCCATTAACTTTGTTCACATTGTTGTCAACTTTCGAGTCTATTAGTTCTATATGAAGATCATATCACAAGACAATGACATAATCGCTGTTTCGGCCATTTGAAATCTTTAGAACGTCATGAAAATTTATTACTGATAATAGGAACCCATCAAATCTATCCTTAAACAGGATCCTCTTGAGTGTAAAGTTAAACAATCAATAATCATGAATCACTTATGTTGCGAATTTATTTCTTATAAACGCTTTAACTTTTTCAAAAACCTCATGTGCAGAAAAGCTGTTACCCTGGTACTTCATTTAGTTTGTTCCAAATATCAAAAGAAAATGTAAAATTACGAAACTAATCAGTTGTTATGCATTATTTAAAGATTATTTTTTGTGATATTTTCATCTTAAGAAGTATTACATTTTCTTCCCTTAGATTCAACTAAGTTTTTAATATGAAATAATAATATTAAACTCTTACATTTTTGATCAGGTTTATTGCTATCCAAATAAAAGGATTTATTCTACTAGAAACCCACATTGGAGGGTAGAACAGAATCAATTCTTAAAGTTCATTTAATCAAACAATAATTCATTTATAATTTAAATTCTATCATTTTACTTCACCTCATTAAGGTAGTTTAATTCATGTAAGTGTAACTATACAAAAGTGATATTCATATATATATATTACGTTTACATTAACTAATTCAATTAGTTTACATTTCATTATTTATATGTTATAATTTCTATGTTTCCCATAATGATTCTTATCAGAAATAATGTATGATACATACTTTGACCTCGTTAACTAAAATGATAAATTATCTTAATCATAAAGGTAATGATAATAATAAGTCTGTCCAGTACTTTGATTTCTTTTCTTTCTTTTCTCACATAACATTTCAATCTATGCAATGTTCTGCAGATATTTTCAATGAACTGTATTGTAGATGTAATTATCTTAAGATTTTTTTAAAAATGGTCTTTTTAACCAGTGGTACTGTCCTATCAATTTAGAAACCTATAAATTATCTAGATTTTGAAAATTTTCTACCATATCCATGATACTTATCAATCATGAGCTTCTTATGGATAATACTTTTATTTATGTCATATTTCTTATAATACCAAGTCACAGATTTTAATACGAACATTTAGGATGTATATTATGTCATTGTAGTGTTAATGAATAGTTGTGTAGAAGGTAAAAGATACACGAACACTCTGCGGATAAACATCGATTTTTATTAATCACATTTAATAGCCCTACATTAGTAAACACAAGACTATAGTGCTAACTGTTAATTAATTCACAATAACTACATTATATCTTATTCAGTAAATTGAGAAACACAAGAATATTTCAACTTCTGCCTCCTAACATTTTATTCATATGTTTTCCTTCTATCACTGCTAGAGTGTAAAAAAACCCAGTGAAACATTAAATGGTTGTTATTCTCATTTGATAATAATTATCTTCTATGATAATTAAAATAACCATAATAAGTGTTTACAATCACATGGATACATAACCATAAGAGAGAGAGAGAAAAAAAAATCATGCAGAACAATCATAAAAATGGCTTTTCAAGAAACAATACACATGACTTGTTAGATTACTTACCTTTATTTTTCATATCATGAAGAGAAGTTGCCTACAGTTTAATAAAAAGTATAAATGCAAACAAAAAGTATATTGTTGGTCAGTGATTAATGATTAAAGCATAAAACATTAACTTTAAAAAAATACTTATAAAAATCTCTATTTTTATAAATTAAATTGTAAATATTACTGAATGAAAAATAACAAATGATAGTACTTTTATAAGCAAGGATAAATAGTGGCTAGTAGTTGAATCCAGGAAGTGCGTTTCGTCCTATTTGGGACTCGACAGCTGGATGTACCTGCATCTCAGAGTTCATGTTCACTCGGGGACTCGAACCCAGTACCAATCACTTCAAACGCCATCGCGTTATCCACCTAGCTACTGAGTCCTGATAGCCATTTGCTTGTGCAATGGGGTGAATTTAAATTCACTTGGCATTTTTTTTTGCTTGTATCTTCCCACTGAGGTTTAAAACTGAAGTTGATCAGTCTTGTATTGACATATGTGCATACTGTGCGTATGCCTCGATATTGCCTTAATTCACAAGCTTTTATAGGCAGTTTTAAACCTCAATGGGAAGATATAAGCAAAAACAATATCAATTGAATTTAAATGATAGTACTATTTAAAGTTCAGTTTTTATCCATTTTAACAAAGATTTTATAAAGTTAGTTTACTGTATTAAGTATCTTATCTGAGAACTTTTCTTAACTAAGTTATCAACCCAGTTTTTATTCAACTGATGTGAAATTGCATTGAAAACTATATTTTAATACAATTTTTAACTGTAAACTTTTCTAACCTTTTCAATTAACTATTTATTAAGCACTAACATTAAGTGTAGAGTAGTTAATAACCAGTTTAGGTTATTCACTGTCATTTTTGACAAATATTTTACTCTTAATTTGAGTAAATTCACCGGTAAGTGTTCAATATTGACATATTTAAGTAATATTCTCAACTTATGAAGTTAAACAAACTGGATATTTGTAAGTGATATTCATTACACATTAACATATATTTGACAATTAGTAAAAGCCATAACAGTCCAACTCGGTGGCCTTACAATCAAGCACTCATCACGATGCCTTAACATTTTGGATTTGATCACTGGTGAACTCATAGGTGAACACTACTGAAGAACCCCATTTTAGAAGAAAATAACCGTCCAGTGCTTACCAGGTTCATTGGGTGGTGTCTATTGTCTCAGAAACGTCTTAAAAAAGTCATATAGTTGTATCTTAGTAAGACTGATTGACATGATTATTTTGGATTTCTTCAATATTTCTCCATTATTTATGATACCAAAACTGAGTTCTCTGTAAACATTAGGTCATAACAGCTGCTAGTAATATGACTTAATAACCGAACTGATCTATGAATATACGCGGAACAAAAAATGTAGACTTACAATGATTGAATTTGCAGAAGTTTTAAGAGTACAGAAGCCAACATTATCTCAAATGTTTCTTATCGATGTTTTTTTCCTAAATGTTCTAATCGGTACAAGTTGACAGAGCTTCTAATTTAAAAACTGTAAGTTTATCTTTTTAATAATGTAACATCAAGATCTAGATCCATTTACAACACATGAGAAGTATATCTGATGTGGTTTTGAGTATGATAATAGATTATATGACTAAAAATAAAGCATATTCGAAGAACCCTTTAATTTAGTCAACAGCTAGTCATGAAATCTACAATCCATGCTTCATTCTATGTAAGTCTCCTGAGCTTGATGTAATCACATCCTAGTATTGATGCTGTCATTGGAAATAAGCGATTAGAAATAAATATTCTAATAATATGTATTACCAAATTGAGTCTTCAATAGAATTTTCTGCTAAACAATAAATATAATAGTTTTTTTTGGATTGTTTAACCCAATAAATTTTATACTTTCACAAAGAACAATGCTGAGATAAAGATGAATGTTTAGAATTATCACTAATGTACTCAATCTACAAATCTTTGTATGGAAATAATATGAAGTGGGCCCTTCATTAGATTCAAGAAATGCAGTGGGTATTTTGCAATATCGTTTGTATCGTGAATGAATAGAAACTCACTAAAAATACCAGCTCTTAGTAAAGATATATCCATAAAAAATTAAACAAAATTAAATCAGTAACTGTAATAGCTATTGTAACGAGGCTGTAGTTTCTCTAATAAGTTGGAGAATTCATCTAAAGTTTGTGTTCATGTACCGTTATTGAAACTCAACGAAACGGAATAGATATAAACTCTAGGAAACTCTTCTACTGTGTAACCTCAAAAATACATCATCTAATAGTATACTTACATGAACCACCCAAAAGAACACTAAGGATCTTTAACTATCACATGAACTAATAAATATCATGACTTCTAATCCAAACTACTAGTCAACCTTTAGTTTTTTAATTATGCATTATGTCTCCTTAGCCAAATAAAACAAATCGGAATATGAATGTTATTTTATAGTTGACGGTTGGATGCGATTATTTTGAATATGGTTTTGCTCAATAGAAATGGGCATTTTGTATTCATCTATACTTTTGATTTTTTTAATGACTACAAAAAATAACGTCGATCTCTGATGATAAAATTTACCTCTTATTATTTATAAAATGGAATTGAATGCAAAAGTTATCCCATCAACAAAAAATGAACTTGTTTTTATTCAGTACAGAAATAATGTAGTGATTATAATGTGTGTAAGTACAAATGAATAAAAAGATAAAAGTTTGCACAATATTTCTAATTCTGTTTTTAAAAAAAATGAAAGTACAATATCTACACTTCGTGGGTTACTGCCGAATTTTGAACATAGTTGAATGAATACATCATCATCATCATCGGTTCATAAAGATTATTTTCAATGTAACTGTTAGTTTAAGCACAACGCTGATGTATTATTGACTCTCAACAATTTCAGTTACTAATTTGTTTAAGTTTTTTAAATCTGTGTCCTTAAACAGTCTGTAATTAAAAGTAGTTTGCTTTATTTATCAAAACTTTGAGTTCACAACATATCTCATTTGTTGTATATGTGAAAGGCAATTTACAATGAACACAATTAAACTATATTTACATCTACATACCGAAGTACTGTACAACACTTACAATTCATTGAGATCATAAGCCGATCGATGTTAGACCACCATTGAAAAACTGACAATTACCATGTGCTCAATAGTGACTAGCTTCGTGAGAAAATTCTTGGGGTTCTGGTGAGAAGCCGTGACCAGTGGAGCTAATTCGTGTCGGGTAGAAACAGATGTCTACCTCAGTACAATGGGAGATGGTAGCTCAACTTCGCGCATTGGTTGAGGTTAGACATTAACACCATTGGATGCCGGCTCAGTGGTCCAGTAGGTTAGGTGTTCGCGCGCGAGACTGAGGGCCCTGGGTTCGAATCTCGTGTAGGGCGGGATCATGGATGCGCACTGCTGAGGAGTCCCACAATAGGACGAAACGGCCGTCCAGTGCTTCTAGGATTTCAATGGTCGTTTGACATCAAACGGTTCATGATCTCAATCAAAAACTTAACAATCTCCCCAACCCCTTAAATGATACATACAATTCAATAAAAACATTTTTATGAATTTGTTATCATGTCTTTTGCTTTTTATAATCTACTAATCAGTCTTGATATTTAATTGATAAAAACAAGCAAAAACTCTGAAATTTTACAAATAATATATCATCAAACTAATCAACTTAACTAGAGAATACCACAAGCTGGTATTTTCAGTCGCATTATTAACAAAGATAACTATCATGAAAATTATATAAGTATCATGCCTATGATATCTTAGTATTAGTTATCTCTGAGTATTTCGATGAAATGAATAGTAGTGTTATGAATGGTCACCTCGAATTGATCAAATTAACGATAAAATAACTCAATAGATCATCACGATCAATAACTGATGATTATCCTACTGAGTTACAAAGTATTTAACTGACTTGTCAAAGTAGAGTACGCTTGCAGTGATCAATAATAGTTATAAGTATGATCCATGGATAACCAACATATCACTGAAATATAATTAGACTTCCATGGAATGAACTTTGAGTGCTCTCGTAATAGTATTATAAAATATTTTAGCTACATACGATTTTATCAAAGACTTATTATATCACATACCTTCTCTGAATTAATTCAGATAAACAAATCATAATTAATATTCATCTAAAAAAAAGTCAACTTTAACTTGGGTATAACGCATTATTTCAAGTAAACAACAACCTTTCAATTCAGTTTATAAATATTGAACATTTCATTTGGTTACTTGTTTAAAATGAATAATTTTCAGAAGTTAAAATTAAAAAACGACAGGGCGATAATCACATCCATAAACCAGCATTAAGCGAGACAATTTTATACAAAAAAACTAGTCTATAACATTTCGGCAATAGAGTAATCCGATGCTTTATTGTTATTAACTGGGAAATAGTTTACTGGATGCCGGAAGTTTGTGATAAGATCGGTCGACATATTTTACCTAGCTCACAAAACGTACGATTTCAGTTTATACAAAGTATAATATTAGACTACATTATGATAAAAATTAACGGTCGACAAACATCAGCAAGGAAGATTTGAGAATTAAAACTAGAGAAGTAAAATTGTACAGCTAACATCATTTGACAGTTTGTTATGCAAAGAGTAATGAATTGTTTGTAAAAATGTGAACAATTCGGACTATTTTTGCAATTGCTGTTTATTTTTCGACTGCATTTGTGGTAGCTCATTCGGGTTTATAAACATTTAGCTAAAATTTAGAATAGATGGATTGTGGCTAGTAGTGGAATTTAGAAGATGTGCTTGTTCCATTCTTCACTAGTCAACTGGATACACTTGCGTCCCAGAGTTGATGTTTACCCCGGAATTTGAACGCAGTACATTTCTCCTCAAATGTTCAACGCGTTATCTACTTAGGACGGATAGCCATTGGTTTCTTTCAATCCTTAATAATAACGACATAATTTAGTTAAAAAGTCGAGGATTTCATTGTACAATTATTCGTGTTATCAAACAGAATATATCATGAACTTTATTTGTATCATATAAAACTTTACCCTTATGTTATTTATGTGACTAAAGACTAAAGTTTAGTTGATTAAGCATTTAGATATTGACTGGTGCTTCACGAATAATTTCTATTAGGTTGAATGAAACTGTACAATGGTACAGTATATATAAATATACTTGACTATGTATTATCGTTAAACTGGTCAACATTTGTTATATATGGGGCAAGTAAATAATTAATAATGTGATTGACGTATTACAAAACGTTGGTTACATTTTTCATTCAATATGTTATCCGTTTAGATTGTTGCTATCACAACTTAGTAAATCATTACGAGTTGGTAGTAAAATCCATATCCCAATGAGTTAAGATTCCAATTTTTATTTCAAGAGATGGTTTTTAAATACAAAGCTTTTCCTTTTCCCACCGAAATAATGAATTCAGTTACACAAAACAATAAAAGACACATAAACAAAAGGGAGCTTTGGGAACATGTATAATGATAATATGTGTAGTTCCTATTGAAGTATTTTGCTTACTTTATAAATTAATAAATAGCTTTTTTGATTTAATTCAGAGATTCAGACATGAGTTATGTCTAGAATTACTGGCATTCGCTATTTGAAGGTGAAACAAAACAACAAGACATATTTGACTGTATAGAAATACGTATATACATAAATCTTTTTGATGGAGTCACCTCAGCTACAAATCTCTTCCGTTATCACATTAATCTTTCCTAGGTTAATGGATAATAATGAATAATTACCCATATTTCATCGTCTCTGTATATCTAATGAATAAATAACACTGATTAATCACAAGAATATTGACTTTCGAGATTGTTCTCAGTTAGAAGAAATGATAATTATGTATTATAATTCATTTGAATGAATAAGATCCTTCCAGGGAAAAATATGATGCATTAGGTAAATGAAGTTAATAAATCAAGTAATTCGCAAGGATAATTCAAATGATAATATGTTCCTCGTTTAGTGTAAGTCCTAACTAACATGTTATTCAGTAGTATTTAGAGTTAGTAACATCCTTTTTATTTTTTTTCTGTTTTAAATCATTTAGACTAGAACTAAGAAATTTCTAGATTTATGAAAGAATAGTCAGTTTCAGAATTTTAAGATAATTTCTTACTTTTTGTGCCTTTTAAAAAAGTATTCGTGCAGTTGTTTACAGAAATTGTTTTCAACTAGTGAAATAAAACCTCTACAAAACCCCTTCTCATAATAATCATCTGCTCACTAGTGACTGACTTCAAGAGACACTCCTGGAGTTCTAGTGAGAAGCTGTTACCAGTGGAGTTCGACCAGGTCTGTTGTCAGATATCAGCTCATTGAAAAATGGTATACGGTGGCGCGATTTCGTGGATTGGTTAAAGTTAGACATTAACACCATTGGATGCCGGCTCAGTGGTCTAATGGTTAATCGCTCGCGCGTGAGATTCACAGGTCCTGGGTTCGAATCTCGCGAGGTGCGGGATCGCGGATGCGCACTCCTGAGTGGTACCAAAATAGGACGGAACGGCCGTCCAGTGCTTCCAGATTTTCCATGGTGATCTAGCTTCAATTGACTCATGATTTCAATTAGAGAAATTGTTTTGTTTAGTCAAATTACAAGAATGATATATAAAAGCTGTTTGAGATGAAAACAATAAAAATTTGTATTTGAATATCTCAGTCTACAGAGAATAATCTAATTCCGATATACAATTATAAATACAAAATGCAAACAAAACTCATCAAATATTACAAATTATGATTAAAAGCCATATCATAACAAGCTGTGAAGTTAAAGTTGCTGTGATAAATGAAATTTACTTAGTTTACTTAGTTTTTCACAAACATTAAAACAAAAATATTAGAAAACTACATTCCTTATTCTATTAGTTCACTAATTATCATATATTCTGTAAAAGCACATAAAGCGCCAATGATAGGAAATTAGTCTTTGGTCAATTTCACAATTTTCAAATAAATTATGAACTACATTGATAATAACAATGTTTCAACTCGAAAATTGTTATTTTGAGATAAACAGAAAATCTAACAGATCAGAGTTCTTTTATTTTGTCATTTCTAGAAACAGTTTCTAGCTCTACAGAAATCTATGTTGTCTGATATCTATAAAATTTTTAAAAGCTTTTATGTACGTTTTAATGAGCGCACGTATATAGATTGTTCTAAGTAGAAAAAATTACACTACGGAACATAACATTATAAGCAGCAATTTAAAAAATGGTCACCTTTTTTCTTAGATATTGCTTTAGTCATATAAGATATAAGTTGTTCAAAGTAATAAACTGATACTCTTTTGAAGTTTTATCGAGATAAAATATATTTGAAAATGATTTTCATGATGAACCAATGTCATTGAAATAACATGACTGCCTCTTGACTGTAGTTGGAGACGCCTGAGAAGAGTTGATATTGACAGAAGTATTATAGTATCATATAAAGTTAGTCATTTAAAGAAATAAAAAAAGATCCAATGAATTTTTGATAATTAACACTGTATGATACAGGAGGTATCATTATCAAGGTTTAACTTGATAATTTCGAATAAATTGAGCATTGGGTAGACTGTTATAAATAAATAATATATCTGTGATATCCCAATGAGTAGATTGATCCCATATTAATCTTACTGTTCTGTTGCCCTATTTAAACTTGGATTAATTTTAATTTGGTTATTTATCCTCTGAAGAAGTGGCTTACACTAAGTCACGAAAAGTCAGAAAATCTCATTTTTCTACTCATTGGGATATTGCAAATATATTATTTATTTACTGTATGATACAGTTCATCTTTTGTAATAATTCAGTCACATATATTTCGGTTGTCTTTTTTTGGAGAAAAGACTTTTCGGTTTACATGTTTATTGGTAAAATTCTCTTACTAATCACTAGTTAATATCCAATCAATAAATATTCACCCTAAAAAGCTCATAAAATAAATGCCATGCACTTGTATATGCCTAACATCTCCACTTCAGAATGACTGTATGTTTACTGATCGACTTTTAAGGTCACATATATTTTTGAAATAAAGCACTTTACGTTAGTGACCGATTTTATAAATAATAAATACAAGTTACGGGGATTTTTACAAGATATAATTAGTCGCAGTGAATATTTTATGCTCAAAATAACCATTTCTCAACTATAGATTAACAGTCGGGAGTTGAGTATTATATTAGCAGTTCAGTTGAGATTTGTAAATTCCTATCATGGAATGGATGACATGTGTATTAGTAATTGTCAAGTAGTTCTAAATGCAGTTGACGTTTGATTAGTACAAATCAACTGTTCGCATACTTAATGACTTCAATTTCTATTTTGGAAATAGATGTTTCTGCAAATCATTCTAAGCTGATTATTTTAATTTGGAAGTGCATTATTTATATTAGATATTCCTATATTTCTGTTTATTATGTTTAGAAGACCTATATCTAATTATCATCATATAGAAGAACCACTCACTCTGAATACTGATGACCTGTCACAAGATAACAGGAAAAGAGATAAACTCATAATCTCTAGAACTAGCCATGGTCATATTAGTTAATCTCTCTGTGATAAGGCCGCATAACAGTCATTAAGAAAACATCCTGTTACACGTCATTTAGTAACATGACGATTTTCCATAATATTTTAAAAAACTGCATAATTCTTGATCAGATAAGTTGATTGTTATCATGTACTTGCTCAGATTCAAATCAAGATTTAATCAAGATAATTTACATGACGAACAAATGATTCACATTACAAAGTTACAACATGGTTTCTGTGTTTAAGTACAATTTTCGTTAACTAAACCACAAGTGGGTCTGTTTAAGTCTACCTCTTCATGTAAGCTTACAAATAACTGAATGTTACCCCCTAAAAAATACAACATTCAGCGTTTTCAGACTTTAATACAATCATAAATAATCCATAGAGTAAGTAATCGACTAAGAATATTTAGAATTTATGAAACAGAAGTGTAAAACGCTATCAACATACATATGAAAAACGATATGATATTAAAACTTCTGGAAAATCACTGCGAATAAAATTCTCGGCAAACATGATATTCTCATATTAGATAGATTGGTATGTAAACTAATTCAAACTCTTAAACATCTTCATAGTGAGAGTATCTAAGTTGAATAATTCTAATCACTCTATAGTGATTGAATCTTGTTAAACTGTTTAATTGTATCCATCATCATAGCCGGTGATCATTATATCTTGGCCTGAACGATAAGTGGTGAAGAGTTCCCAAATAACTGGGACAATATCATTATAATTACTCACATACCTTATTCCTTGACATGACTAGTGTTGAAATAAACTTAATTTCAAGATGATAATTAATGTTTTGTCCTTGCTTTCATTACCGAAAGCATTCTCTCATTTTAAGCATTTTAAGCACAGATACTAGATTTGTACACTATATGTTTAAATCATTCTCATGAATAAATTACTAAGATGTTTGCTATGAGTAAAATAACGCTAGTACCACATTTTAAATACGAATCAAGCCACTAATATTAAAAAGACAAATGAACAGGAAACATAGTAATATACTTATCACGGGTGTAATCTTAAATATAACTAACTGATTGATTTAATGATGACCTTGTCCACCATGGTATTGCATTGTCCACTGGAACAAATGTTAAGTCATGTATGATGCGACCTTTTAACAAATTAATATCCTGTTTATTGCCAGTTGTTTTGACAAAAGCATTATGGCCAAATCTTGAAATGAAATCTTCACTGTGAATAATTAGCTGTTTGGGATAAGATTGAAATACACTTGAAATATGTTTTTCATTATTCGGACAAATTGATTTATATGCGATAGATCGATAACGAGGTTTATCTAACTTTTTCTTAATATTATCCAGTATTAATGGCTTTAATGTTTCGTTACGAAGTGAATTATTTTTCACGGGTTGATGCTTGGAATTTAATAAGTTAGATGTTGAATAAGAAGGCTTTATATGGCGATGATTTGTCGTATTACAAAGACTCGTAAGCGCTGGTTGTGCGATTAGATTTAACTTTCTTAAAGATTGAAAATATGGTTTATAAGTGAATAAATTTTTATGTGAATTGTAGCTTCCTCGTTTTTTCTCTTCATTGCATACTTCTGATGGACTTCTCATACTATCTTCGTTGATGAAATCATATTTATCTGCAATCCTTTGGAAGTCCTTATTTTGCTGAGAAACTGATGACTTTAGATTGTACTGGTTGATACATTTTGAATCTTTAACGTTTAATAAGTCGATTGAGTGGCTATGAGGACAAAATGAACATTTATCGTCAGTACACCAAAACGGTGAATGCACATCATTGTGTGGAGGATGTGTTATTTTGTGGTCTTCATTTATATAGTTCAATGACCATAATGAGTTAACTGAACATGGTCTGAGTCTATAAGATTCCCAAGGACGAAGTGAAGGTTTCAAGTTTGTCCGATCAACGCTTACTGGTCTCTGGTTAGTTGTATTTTGTATGGGTGAAACATATTTTGCACTGCTCTCAGTATTTGTTGGGATACTCATTCTTTTAACTGTTTCTGTCCCGCGACCAACAACTCTTAGGGAATTTGATCTTTTATACCATTCTCTAGCCATTCGTATTCTTTGTATACGTGGTGTATTCGAATGAGCGTTTATATCATCCCAGGATTGCGGACCAGGAGGATAAAATGGAGGTCTGCTGGACAATGATCCAAGAGAATTGGATCTTTTTACAGTTTTTTTATTTGTTTGTTTAACAGGAGTTGTATTTCCTGCCATATTGTAGTACATCAGTGGATGAGGAGCAGAATATTTATGCAATTGTCTTGTAGAGGATGAACCTCTAGATATATTTCGATAACTATTGTTCATTTGAGAGTTTCGAATTTCTGAACTAAATGAACATTTGTCAGTTTTCCTAATATTTGTGGACTTATCTTCAGTCTGCATGACTGTGATAGGAATGTTACCATTATTCACATTGTTTAATTCCTCTCTTTTACCTGTTTTGCAATGTTGCTCTGTGTAATGTGTACTAATTGGAAACATTTATTTTAGTGGTATATTATCCACTACAGAGCATTTCAATGTATTCATATTTTAATGAAATATAACTATTCGCCTAAATAATCCCTCATTTTTATATAGTCAAAATAATAGTAAGAATTATACAGTTAAAATCAATAAACAAATAGTAATAACCAATCAATATTACTTCACAAAGGAATTATGGGACAGAAAATGTTGATTACTTCAAGATTGTTTGACAGAATAATAAAAGGCATATTCATTAATGATTGAAATTATTATTCTTGAAAGTTGATAGGCTTTAAAAGCCGAACATATGAAGTGGTATATCTGACTGTTATGGTAGTTTAAGGACGTATGTACTCAGTAGTGATATAAGTTTAAAGTACAGCCTAAGTACTTTCTATAAGTGCTCAAAACTAGAAGATTTGAAAATATTGATTTAGATGAAATAAACAATGAAAACATACAAAATAACTATGATAGTAAATTCTCAGACCTCTTCAACGATCATTACCTCCAATGGGAAAACGACATTATTCGTAATGTATACAACCATTTTAATCAATAAAATGCTAAATATTAGATTCAACTCTAGATTTATTACTGAGAGAACCTAAATAGTAATGGAATAATTGTATAACTACTATAATTTTCTTTTCAATTTTCATTTGAAATATTTCAGAAATTCCATTCTATAGGGTACCTAAATAAAAAAGCTAAACGCCTAAACTCTATATATTTATCCTGAATAGGATTTATTATTATTGATCTAGTTAACACATGATATGTATATGTTGCCATTATAAGGACAAACGTTTTTCTATGGAAAGTCATCAGTATCAGAATCAGTCCATTTTATGTACCCACTAATCAGTCAGTATATAATCAGAGAATAAAAGGTATTTTAAAGATCAACATTAAATGAGATGTAGCAAATTAAGATGAAAAAAACTGTACCTGATCTACTGACAGAGAAAATGCAAACAAAATGATAATAAGTATTTCAAATAGAAAAAACAGTTATAGAAAAGAATTTTTCCATCCTAAGGTATCGTTTACTAAACCTTCATAATCGTACTTATCACGTAATCAGTTGTCTACAATAAAATATAAATCCGCCACGTCATTAACAGGGCTACCATAATTTATATTGGCAGCACAAGGAATGACCTTTCCAAGCGTATATCTGAACTTTGCACAAACCTATCTAAAGGTGGTTACAAATTAGTTAACAATTTTATTAGTAAATAACCGGTCAAACTTAGTCATCTGTCTCTAATACAATCTTCATTCAAAATGTTTAACAAAATCATACTAACTGGTTTCGAGGTATACTAGACATAAAATATCTGAAATGAGGAGGCTTCGGTAATTCATCGATTCAAATCTGGTCTCTGTGTTTAGCAGTGATATATCTAATCCTTTATTTTACCATTGTCTTAATTCCATATTACATTTTTTAGCTTTGTAAATTGTTTCGGTATGTGTCTGCTTATTCCTTATATTCATTAAGTGAACCAGTAACTTTGACATTTTTTGCTACATATTATGTTATTTTACCTGTTACTCTTTACCCTTCGACTATACCTATAAATACATTTATACAGCTTTAGAGAATGGCATCTTTTGAAAGAAAAGTTTCTTCTTTGAATTGTTTTATTTTTACTCAACAACCCATTTAGTTATTTGTTTTATTTAAGATATCTTAGTTAAATTTCAGGATAGTGTAAACTGAATTTATCCCTTTTTCATGATGAAATAATGGAGTACATATAGAGAAATATTTTCTGGATACTTCATTTTGTTTTTTTAAAAAAATCCGAAACAAAATCCTTCTAAAAATACAAACAAGAAATACTAAATATAGATACTGATGGCATTGCATCTGAACTGAATATTTTATTCTTCTTCCATGAACAATGGTTACTATGACCTACCACTGTTCAAGCAATTTCAAGGTTAATAATCTCGACAGATATTAACAGTGAGAATAAAGGAAATACTTTTAATAATGATACGGTCTAGGTTACATCATTATTATAAGAATTATAGATTCACAGAGAACTGATAAAAAGAAAATCAGTTGATCATTCCTAACTGTACACTTTGTCATGGTCAATATGTCTAAAAGTACTAAAGTTATGTAAGTATATCAGGATCATGTGACTGACAGTAAGTTTGTTTCACAATAATGATTACTATAGTTGAATATAAAATACACAACTTATTCTAGTGCAGCACAGATTTTCTCAAAACGAAGGTAGAATGTTGTAGTAGTCAATTACAAAAAATACCTCGTGCTATAAAATATAGCAGACAAAACTGGTCACTTTCACCAGTTCTAATAATTCTGATCAGTGAACTACTTCATATTGAAAGCTTCAGAATAAAATAACATCAAATAGGGTTCACTTTTATATTGCTTGGTAGTTATAATGAATGGTTAATTGATAGATCTAATTGTATGTTAGGAATCAAAATGTATGGTACTAGAAAAGACTTCTTTATTTCTAATGATGAGCACATATAAAATATAGACAGGCAGCAGCTTTGTTTCTATGCACTCGACATTACGGATATTTTAGTCTCAGTGATTTTAAAATTGATTAGTTTAATTCAAAGATAAGATTGACTGATGGAGAAATGTTATTGAAGAAATAAATGACAAATATGAAAATTTATAACTGTCAACTAATCTGCTAAGCTATCCAACTATCTTACTCATAGTAATAATCTGATCTACAAGTTCTAGTAAGATCTTTTGCATAAGCCAAAACATTTTTTTCCTAATCGCATTTACTAAATCATATGAGAAATAGATTATACACTGAACTAATGACAAAAACTTGTTACCTAGACAACTTCCTAATAATTTCACCATAAAATTTTTCTTCATTACAACGGCTATTATTTGTATCAAAGCACTGGTCTAACTGTTGAGAAAAATGCGTAAATTCCAGAAAATTTAATGAACCTTAGCTAACAGATAAATATTTTTGGCAAGACTATAATTTATGGACGAATCAATCAGGTATAAGATAACAGGTATCGAATTTTGACGAGAAATTCACTCATCCATTTGGCTAAATAGACTCTTGGCATTATAACCTATGTTAGTTCGTGGAAAAACCCTAAATCTAATTCCTAACCTTAACCATAAACTGTAACTCATCATTCGAATTCCTTACACTAATCTATAACCCTCATTTAGTCTTAGTTATTAAGTAGACACTCTCAAGGTCAGTCTAGTGTCGCTTAAAGGTCGTCCATAAATTATGGTCCCACCATATTTTTTTAATTATAGGAAAATTATAATGGATTAAAACTTTTATGAAAATTCTTGATATTATGAAGTCTCTAAAAAACTTTTTGAACAAATGAAGGAATTAATTACTCTCTAAGCAGATAAATGAATCCTTTAGCAAAACAATATTATACAGATATCATGGCTCATATGTTACAGAGATAGAAAACGTTCTGATTGTTATGTACATTCTGTGTCATATACAACTAAGCATATGTCAAATGGATCTGTGGAACAACGTTTTTTAATCTGTAATACTAAAATACAGATCAGTCATAACATTTCTACACCGATCTTCTAATTTTGATAGAACAGATAATGAACTAGACACTACATATATGTTAAAACTTATGTGATATGAATTATTTCAAAGGGTGCAACTAACTTTAATACCCCTCAGAAACATAATATGTAAACAGTACTAAGAATGTCCATAAATCTGTACTTTATGATGCACTTCGTGTATCAAAGGTTTTTTTTGGTCAAAAGAAATCAAATAACAAGTTAATGTTCGCTTTTTATTAGTCTAAACAACAAAATTTATTAATGGTTAGTGTTGATAATGTTCAATCACAATGGTTGTCAAGCTTTAAACTCGATTCGTCCACTTAAACTTTGTTTTGATCATTTGATAAATCATATTTCAAACTTATTCAGCGAGTAAATATGGATGAAGTTTTAATATCTCCTTAATACAATTTCATATTATATATAAAAAAGAAACTATTCATATTAACACTTACGTTATTTCCCGTTTTAACAGTTGGCATTATTCAGTCAATGATGAAGGTATTTTCAATAAATAGATAAGATGATTAGTCAATATTAGTGAGATTTATGGATAACAAACAATCTGATGTAATACTCGTGAAGATTTGACAAATATGAAAAGTAATGAGTAACTAATAAAAGGAAATATATGTCAAAAAAGATTTTGTTGTTGTTTATATGTGTATATACTATTTTAATTAGTTTCGAAGAAAATTATAATAAATGGATCCAACTATAGTAAGATGAATTATATCGATTGAATAATGATTAAAAAAATAACAGAATTTGTCCAACTGATAGTCACAGTAAGTTAGAAAGTATAGTGTAATTATAGAGTTTTTTTATTGCCACTATTAATTAACACTATTTCTCTGTTTGACTGATGCTAGTAACAATATTCTATGAAATAATAAAATACAAGTTGGTAATAAGAAGGCAGATGAATCTTCTATCCCTTTTTTGCTTTAAACCTATCATGTTTTCTATCCATTACTATTACCACTAATACTGCTGCTGTTACTTCCACTTATTTCCCTAGCCTTGATGTTGTGATGCATTTTATAATAACGACAAGCACCATATTAATAAATAACAAATTATAGAAGCATCAATACTACCACCTACGCATTTATTTTGCCTACACAAATATATGTGCTTGCGAAATTATCAATATACGGAATTGTTTTAGACAATTCTATTTCATATTAAAGATGAACGCACACATTAGTTGACAATAAACATAGTTATATAGACACACAAGATACATATACACAGAACATGTGGATACACGGACACAAATAGGTCACAAATTGTGCTTTTCTCACAGTCATATCATGATAATATCTAAGTTTTAGAGAAATATAAAATCATCATATGTGTATCGATTGTTAACATAGTCAATAACAATTGACTATATACCTTCTTAAGTTTAGAATATTGCCTATTAATAAATGATTATTTATTAGTCGAAGCTTATGTTTATTAACTGTTTATGTCATATATTTCTCATCCTAATTTTGTTTTTGTAAACTGACTTATTTCAATCAGAAGTCTTACTTTCGATGTTTCCTTAATTTATGTGATAAAAAGCTAATAAACAAGTAAATAAAGCATTTGAAGTACTACATTGTCCAAAAATCGCTTATATTTCGCTAAGTAGTATTAATAAAGCTAATTTAGCATTTATAATTGAATAGAATGTTTCGGCTTTACACTTAGGGTGGAATGATTAACCAGACTTGTTTTAAAAGTTGAGCACTTTTAAGTAAATAATAGTATACACATGTTGGAGTCAAATCCATACTTATGTTTGACGAAGGAGTAATAAATACTGGGTTTGAGTCTCAGTATAGACATCATCATTGGAATTCAGGTACATCTGATTGATGGGTCCCAAATGGGCTGAAACATACCTCTTGGATTACATTACCGGCCACAATACAACTTCATTAATAAACATTTTACTAGAAGTCGATGTCAAGGCAAAATAGTATGATTTTGAATTATTTGTCAATTAATGAATCAATAATTAAGGACGAAACTAAAGTTAATAGAACGACTAATGATTATTCACTTATTCCTGCTATCTTTTAGTGGCCCCATATCTAACTCCAGTTATATAGTATGATTAATTGCTATTGAAATATTCATGTCGTCTATCCTCGTATAGAATGATTGACATAAATCGCGTTAGGGAATAACGAAATTAAATAAGTCAAATACGAGAATGAATGTTTCAATACATATATTTTGTACACTGATTGATCTGGACAGAAAATCAGAGGAACAAAGTGAGGAGAAGAGAACCAAGCGAAATGACGTTTACTGGAGAAGGAAAATGAGCCAACTCCATTTGATCAAGAGTTAATCGATATTAATAACCACACAAAAATCAGTTACAGACATGTAATGAATAGGATAAGAAGTGTATACCCAGACACTCACATAAAAATAGTCAAGGTTGATATGTGAATAATTAACAAGTTCAAAATATGAACTCAAGAAGAATGGATAAATTGGCCTATCCAGAAACCAGAATAAGCTATGTGGGCTCGACATAGGACCAACCACTACAGTCTCATCACAATATAAAAGCACATATCCGTTTTTAACAATATCCCTGTAAGTTCTTTTCAAAATGTAGTGAGTATATTTAAACAATTAACTTTACTTACAACTAAGTTATATTAAGATTTATTGACTTTAGTAGAAAACAATTTTACAGGATTGAATATTGGAAGTAAATAGATGAGTTTAGTATGATTTCCCAATCACATCGTATACAGTATACTGATTTAAGTTAATCTTCCATCACATTTGTCCCTGTGATATGTCCTGGATACAATATCAAACTTAATACTAGATGGATTTTCTTTATTTGTTCATCTCACTTTTGTAAAAAAATATCACAAGTGACATGGAATGGTAATAATACAATTGGTTTCCGATGAAAAGTGTGGTTGGACAAATAACTTACAATGAATTCCAAATTTCTCCTCTGTTCATTATGATTGTTATTGCCAACTTTTGACATTTAAAAAAGGTAGACTAAATATTTTTTAAAAAACAGTTACTAAATGTCACAGAACATGTGGATCATTTAAAAAAAGACTTGTCAAATATTTTATGATCAAGGCGTCGCTATTTATCTGTTTATTTGTGTATTTTTTTAACTAATTAGGACAAAACAACTGTCTAGTACTCAGTAGTTTTCGATGACTTTTCAACTGCTGTCAGGTTGCTAATAAAATTTCTCTCCAACCTTTGTAGTTATATAGTAACAATTTTTGATTTATTAGTTCTGTACTGTTCTTAAATGTAATGTGTAAACATTTTGGGAAGTTTTATTTCTTAACCCTGAAAATTGTCTGATGTTCTAGTAAGAGATTTTAATGTTTAAGGTTAACCTAGTAGGTGATGTACAAAACAATAATTGACAAATTGAAATTAGTTCAAAACTGATTGAATTATTTACAATACTACTATTTCACTAATAATGATGAGGTAAACTTCACACTATACTTATGTCATTTAAATGAAATTAATTTACTGGAGATTTAATGTATTTATTTTTTTTAATTATCTTCCAACCATGGTTATTTCTATAAATATCCAAACAATAATGCAGTAAGAAGAGTGGATGATCTTTTTAAAAGATAATTATCATGAGTAACTGTTGTTTAATTACTAATGAATTGATAAGTTTGAGACAAAACTCAAGTTTTAAATTATAGTACAACTCAAAGTAACAAACTAACAAACTTTATATTTAAAGAAATAAATTGTAATCAGGGAGGGATTTCGTGGATATTGTAGTAATTTAATGGATGAATTCATGAGTCAGTTGAAGCTAGACCACCATGGAAAACCTGGGAGCACTGGACAGTCGTTTTGTCCTAGTATAGTACTACTCAGCAGTGTGCATCCACGATCCCGCCCGTCCAGTGATTCCAGGTTTTCCATCGTGGTCTAGCTTCAATTGACTCCTAAATTCATCTATTAATTAAATTGTATCAATATTCTGAATATCGATTTGATAAACATCAAGATGAGTACCATGATATTGAAAATATTGGAAATAGAAATTGTCCGTTTTTATCTTATTTGTAGGCAAGTTAGACATTGAACTGACGGATAAATATATCTACAGATGAAAATGTTGAAATATTGTGAATCATAAAACAAGTGTGACCTATAAATTAGAAAGAATAAAAAAATTCGTATACAAATCTAATCTTAAATAATAAGAATAAAACTAACATGTATATATACAACCGTATGAATATTAGTTAATTGATTTAGAGTGTTATTGTTACGTGATGAATCTCCTTTTTGATGAAATGGCGGCCTGCTTGAATATCTGCGCTACTTGTTTCTGCTCTCTAGATATTTCAACAAGTTATCTGTTTCGTTTGTTTGTTTTAACACATCGCATAACCTAGTCAGGTGCGTTTATGAAAAGTTTACGATCTTTCGCTGTACAAGTTACAAAAAAGTACAATCAGCGACTTTGTGATGGCTGGAAATATGCACTGAAAAGAATGAACATTATTCAGATGTCGATGCCTGAACTGGTAACAGCATATCGGTGATCACTCAATATTTATTATCAGGATCGATCAAGAAATAAGAAAAGAAAACTTGTTGAAATACTCTGTGCTGAGAACTATATATTATACCAAAAAATAGAATTGAATAAAGCCAATAATAATAATAAGTGTAAAATGAAAAAGTACTTAATTTTTGACAAATGATTGAGCCTTCATAATATAGGGATATATCATATTCTAGTTCCGTTTAGTTTTAGAATCAATAGATAGAACATATTTACCTATTTGGTTTTGTCAAGATGTATCAAACTTCTAGAGTAATTTTTACATCAGACTGGAATCATCCATAGAAATTCGGAAAGCTAAAAAGCCCTGATTTAATCCTCACTTTCCGTTTGAGACTTCCTAACAATCTACATTCGCGACCTCACACATGCTGAAAATAACACGCAACTTATTCATAAGTGTACAGAAAACCATACAGAAAAATTATTTGTGTTTATTTTGACATAAAGAACTGTTTCGTGCTGCCTTGTTTCCAATAGATCACAGCTGGTATCAGTTTATCACAAAATTTACTATATTATAATAATAATGAATCTATCTTTGAATAGCTGAACTATTCTAACAGATTACGACATTTCGGAGTTCGTATGCATATTATGACGGACACAAGGCTGGTTGTTGACAATGAATACACTGGATGCATAATAGGAGAAAGGGACATATTTTATCGAAACGTATCGTTTATGGGGTATCAAATTAACACTTTAGAATATCAGTGAATCCTGTAGATGAGCTAACACTTATCTGATTCTAAATAACTCATGTTAAAAGATAGGTGAAAGAGGTGCCGGTATCCTCTACGTATAATATACAAAAATGGATAAAAAAAGCTTTCTGGTTACTTATTTGGATGAACTCAAAAATTAACTGTATGACTCAGACCACTTGATTCTACACAGAGATGTCTGATTGACATGAATGTTTGTATTAGTTTTATATAACTCCATTAAATTCCTGATCTTAGTGTTGTTATTAAATAAAATATAAGCTTCAATAAACATTTGTAATGGCTTTTATCAGCTTCTTGATAAGCTAATTGTGAAACATTTTTAAAACAAATCTTGTATGTACATTTTTATTCCAAATGATCCATCCTTAATGTTATCAGGGCACAATGTATGTAAATAAACTAAGTGGTACAAACAAATTTTGTTTAACAGGGTATATTCACGTCTAGAGGAACAATACTGTTCCTACAAACAGTATATAAACGTTGTAATGTCTAAACCCAAAACATTTCGAAGTCATACCATATCAGTAAGTTGATAATTAATGCTGAATAATAACACCATTTTTTATTTGCTCTTTATTGTCCATCTCTAAAAAATAACCAAAACTATTTATTTACTGTATATAAATATCTACTTTTAAAAACCAATCACAAATTA